CTGCACGATCAATTAGGCTCCTCCCGGCACCACAACATGAGGGAGGCAGCTGGTGGCTAGCTCGGTCTTCTCTTGGCTGGTGGCGTGAGGTTAAGACCTACTCTGTGGCTGTATCCCTACTCTCCTTCCTTCTCCTCTTACTTATTTCCCTTACCTGAAGTTCCTGTATCCTTAAGCTAAGTACAGGGCATTAGTGAGTGTGCCTACTCTGGTAGTAACGATTGGTGAGACCTGGGGATAGTATTTTGCCAGTGTTTGGGTACCCCTAAGTGTTGTGTTTTGTATTAGGGTCCCACGTGGTTTCACTACCCTAAGCTGCATCCAGCTTCAGTGCTTATCCAGTAGTACTTTACCCTAGCTTGTTATTAGTGTAAACCTTGTATCCTGCCTACGTGGACCAAGGCTTTTAACGTAAGATAGTGTGGTAAAGTTATTATTATTATTGTTATTGGTGTGAGTGTATATGGGGGGTTGTTAACGGGTTAATAAATAAGTACATGAATTACAGAGTATCTCTTCTTCCAAGGTGGGAGCGCAGTGATCAACCCTTAGACGAACATATTTGGTCTTGTAGCAAGTTATTACTACTGTGGATAGTTTATTTTGGGGGCCGGGCCTTTTAGCTCTCCCATATATGATACTCCTGTCTTCTAACTACCTATACCCCTTAATAGTACCAGTACCCCATAGAAGCCCCACTCATATCATTTGTAACACTGAGGAAAGGAGGATAGAAGCACAAACCAGTGAATCTGTACGATGGTACAACATGGTTGCAGCTGGCAATCCCAATCAGTATGGCCGAAGAGGAGGACGACGAGGGAGAGAATCAGTAATAGCGAGAATCCGTCTTGGATACAAATATCCATGGAGATATGGAATGGAAACAACAGTTGATCAGCGAAGTTGCAGAATCTGTGGTGAGAGTGATGGACACCGCCTTGACCACTATCTACGTGAATGTGAACACCTGAGAGACATTAGGAATAACTGTAGAATAATAAACCCCACATTGTTTGAGTTAGGAAAACACTTTGTCAAATATTGATACTGTTCTTAAAAGATTTCCCCATTTTGCACCCGCAAGATAACGTAAGCTTTTAAGGGTTGATAAATGTTAATCTTCTTGTTTGAGGAGCTGTTCACTTGAGACAGTTAAGCAAGTCCCAGCTGTGTCTGGGTACAAGTGACAGGATGAACAACCCAGCGGGTTTTCTTCCTATTGGGGAGTGTTGTACATGCTGCTATGGCGGTGTGTCCACTCACAAGATGAGTGGCGCTGCCCAATAAACTCGCCCCTCGGGGCAAAATTTAAATTTAGAGTGTGAACATTTTGTCCTAAACGCTATGCGTATTAGTGGTTTTAGGTATTGTATGTACTAGCTCTATCTATTAATCAAACATTATGCTTGTAACTCATAAATAAATAAATAAATAAATGTTTATTTAGGTAAGGTACATACAAGAGATTTTACAAAGTTTGTTGGATTAATAGATAGAGCTAGTACATACAATGCCTAAAGCCACTATTACGCAAAGCGTTTCGGGCAGGAAAAACATTAATGACTAAAGCTTAATACTAATGGGTATAAAGAATAAAATGTGTTGAGAACAAATAAAAATAGAGGTAAAAGAGGGGGGAACATGGCTGAAAAAGCAGCACAAATACAATTACAAATTATTACAGACAATTACATTCAAACAGCGTTGTTTTGAAAAAATATATATACATCTTCACAGTATACAGTACATACATCTTCTGTGTATGTACTTTTACCTGAATAAACATTTGAATTTGAATCTAAGTCATTAGAAATATGTGTATAGCACAGTAACCCCCACATTGTTTGAGTTAAGAAAACACTAGTTGTCAAATATAGATATGGGCATTGCTTTCTTCGGAAAGCGTGGAATTCTGGTAGAGGAGAAAGATATTTGCACAGCGCTTCCCGTGCGCGCAGTATGGGCTGCATATTTAAGGGAATGGAAGAGGGGTCCTGTCCACGGGAGACATCTCCCGTCACGCAGGGTGCAGTCGCACCTCTACAGATCTCCAGTATCAGCTAATGACACTGGTAATGGCTCCAAAGGGCCACCACTTTCGGGCTATTCATTCCCGTGCCACCTTTTGGGTGGCTTAATCTTCATCAATCATCAATCGGGTCCCGTCCTCAGTTACGCAGGTGTCTGCACGGCCTGCTTCGCAACGACACGCCCGCCCTCCTCCCTCAACTGGCCCTAGTCCACTTAACTCTGTCTGTATGCACTACATACACATGTTACTTCTCTCATTACTCCCCTAATTCTGGGGTGCTTCGCCGGATCCTCAAGTGTACCGCTGTACCGCAGCTAGTTCACTTTGTCAAGAGCACCTTTGTAGTAATTAAAGTTAGTTTTGCTGCAGACTTTACAGGCAATCTAGGTACTAGTAAGCTCTACCATTAAACCGGGAAATTTTATATATTCTTTCTCCTACTAGCATATCATTACCCCTGGAAATTCTTATCCATCTTTTCTATGCCTTCTGTGTATACAGAATATATTTTATATACATAGTGTACTGGCTGTGCCACTCAATTTATAACTCTGGTGTTGTCTTTAATTATAGCATTAAGCTGATTGTGAGTACTGCAACATTGCTTTGGCTAACTGGCACTAGGCTCTGTTAATAATGTGCTACGACTTATTTCTTTAGTTGCATCTTTGCAGTACTGGCATTCTACTCAGTCATGTTATACATCATTTATATTGTGGTACAGCAGTTGCTTTTTATACATTAATTAATAAATAGGTCCCCCCATTCTGGCTTGTGTTTTTCTCCCTTATCAGAAATATTCTTTCTCCTTGGCGGCTAGGCCTAATGGTCTGTGTTAATTTTCTTCCTATTTAACAAGAGGCATTTCCCAGTCTCTATGTACCTTTCGCCTGCACTTGTTAGTTACTGTATTAACTCATCTAGGTTATAGCACTACGTCTTGTTACTTGGCTCTAAGCATACTTTAATAATAATTTTTAATAATTTAATATTCTGCCCGAAACGCTGCGCGTACTAGTGGCTTTACAAGAATGTAATTACTATCCTATGTATCCTCACAATCCCAATGTACCTTCTTGTATATAAATAAATAAATAAATAAATAAATAAATAAATAATTGTTCCGTTGTTTATTCCCATTATAATTTGACTTTAACTGTACTTACTGTATCTACTCAACTATGTTATAGAATTTGTCATATTTTACTTATAGCCATCAAACATATGTGTTACTGCAGAACTTTACATCTTTATAATCTAGTATTTTAATAAATAAGTCTCCCATACTGGATTGAGTCTTTCTCCCCGAACAGAAAACTGTTCTTAAGAGATTCCCCCATTTTGCACCCGCAAGATAACGTAAGATTTTAATGGTTGACGATGTTAATCTTCTTGTTTGAAGAGCTGTTCCCTTGAGACAGTTAAGCAAGTCCCAGCTGTGTCTGGGTACAAGTGACAGGATGAACAACCCAGCGGGTTTTCTTCCTATTGGGGAGTGTTGTACATGCTGCTATGGCGATGTGTCCACTCACAGGATGAGTGCCGCTGCCCAATACTGTCACTATGGCGGTGTGTTCACTCACAGGGTGAGTGGCGCTGCCCAATACTGTCATTATGGCGGTGTGTTCACTCACAGGATGAGTGGCGCTGCCCAATACTGTCACTATGGCGGTGTGTTCACTCACAGGGTGAGTGGCGCTGCCCAATACTGTCACTATGGCGGTGTGTCCACTCACAGGATGAGTGGCGCTGCCCAATACTGTCATTATGGCGGTGTGTCCACTCACAGGATGAGTGGCGCTGCCCAATACTGTCACTATGGCGGTGTGTTCACTCACAGGGTGAGTGGCGCTGCCCAATACTGTCATTATGGCGGTGTGTCCACTCACAGGATGAGTGGCGCTGCCCAATACTGTCATTATGGCGGTGTGTCCACTCACAGGATGAGTGGCGCTGCCCAATACTGTCACTATGGCGGTGTGTCCACTCACAGGATGAGTGGCGCTGCCCAATACTGTCACTATGGCGGTGTGTCCACTCACAGGATGAGTGGCGCTGCCCAATACTGTCACTATGGCGGTGTGTCCACTCACAGGATGAGTGGCGCTGCCCAATACTGTCATTATGGCGGTGTGTCCACTCACAGGATGAGTAGCGCTGCCCAATACTGTCACTATGGCGGTGTGTCCACTCACAGGATGAGTGGCGCTGCCCAATAAACTCGCCCTTCTGGGCAAAATTTAAAGAACTCGCCCCACCAGCGATTTGAGCTGGGTTCGTATCCTGGCCTGGGAGGACTGACTGGGTACCAATCCTTAAATGTACGTCTCAGTTCACTGAATGGTTGTTAAACGATTTGGCGGGTCGTATTCCGGGAATATATACCAGGGATTAAGGTTGTATTAATTCTTACAGTTGAATGAATTGTAAAGCTATCCTTCTGAGGATGTATCATTAAATACGAAAGTACTTAAGAAAATTCCTGTCTTAATCGTTCTTTCGTGGTCTGACATTGTCACACTATACAAATACTTGACAAGGGTTATAAGTTATTATTAACAATTAGTGTAGCTTAAATATATACCTGGAATGTTTGCACGGTCCATGTATTTCAACACAACACCATACAAAGTTTCATATACTGTACCTGTACAGTACATATACATTTTAAACTATTTATATCACATCAGAATAAAGGACAGTTTCATCTGATCCGAGTAATTTTAGACATTTTGATTTAATTTGAGCTTTAGGCTATTTCAGATATACATTAATTTGTAAATAAATAATAAGTTTCATATTTTGAAACAATGTGAGCACACACCTTTAGAACACAATAAATATTTATTCAAATTGCTGTTGGCAACAGTTGGGTTCTTCACTCATGTTCAAGAAAAACAGCACAAACTATAAAGTGGTTACAATTTACATACTGAATAATTATTGTTTAAATAAGTGCAACTGATTTTGACGCGCAGGAAGTTTTTATTGTCAAAATTTACAATGATGTGGAGAGGTTAGTTGAAGACTTTGGCATGTAGAGCACGATGGTGGAGTTAGATGAGGCCTCAGTAGTCAAAAAGTACCTTTCCTCAGTACTCTACTGCCCTCAACACGTCCTTCATCATCAGTCTCCTCCCCGCCATGGTGGGGAACTTCTTAAGCGGAGCCGGGGCCGTGTTCCTCTGGTTCTCTGCTGCTATCGTCGCCTCCTTCACTATGTTTCTCTTGAAGGCGGACTCCATGACGGCGTCGCTGGCCACACACCTCCCGATCGCTGCTCCCCACCCACAAGTAAACTATATTAATTAACCGTAGACTTGTGAAAATAATTATGTCTATGGATGTCATTGCTTTACTGAAAATAATGTGAATGACTTTACTATTAACTACAGTAATTAGACTATAAACCTTGCAACTTGACAATTTTAATGCGACAAGTATATGGGTGAGTTTAAAGAAGAGTGTGGTCCAGTTGGTGAACTGCTGACACAACTCTTGCACCTCCACCACCACCACCACCACCACCACCCACAGGCTGGGACTGGTGTTGGCGAAGAATGTGGTCCAGTTGGTGAACTGTTGACACAACTCTTGCACCTCCACCACCACCACCACCCACAGGCTGGGACTGGTGTTGGCGCCAAGTCATACTAGGGAATGACAGTGTAGATGGTGCTGAAACGTGCAACTAAGAAGAGGAATGTAGACATACTATAGAGTCTAGCACAGAATAAGAAAATATATAAAATAAATAGATAAAACTCATCATATTAAGTCTCTGCCACTTTGGCTTCCGTTCCCAAAAGAGAACCAATGATGCCATTATTAGTCTGCTTAATATAATGTACTCAGCGCTTGACAAAAGGAGTGCCCAATTAGCTTCATAATTGACCTGAGACAGGCCTTTGATACTGTAAACCATAACTACCTCTTACTCACTCTTCACCACTATGGTACCCGAGGCCTTGCTCTGGACTATATTTGTTCCTATCATATTGAGAGGGCCCATCATGTAGCTATAACCTGCCCCACTCCCATATTGAGAGGCCCCAACATGTAGCCACAACCTGCCCTACTCCCATATTGAGAGAGCCCAACATGTAGCCACAACCTGCCCTACTCCCATATTGAGAGGCCCCAACATGTAGCCACAACCTGCCCTACTCCCATATTGAGAGAGCCCAACATGTAGCCACAACCTGCCCCACTCCCATATTGAGAGGCCCCAACATGTAGCCACAACCTGCCCTACTCCCATATTGAGAGAGCCCAACATGTAGCCACAACCTGCCCTACTCCCATATTGAGAGAGCCCAACATGTAGCCACAACCTGCCCCACTCCCATATTGAGAGAGCCCAATATGTAGCCACAACCTGCCCCACTCCCATATTGAGAGAGCCCAACATGTAGCCACAACCTGCCCCACTCCCATATTGAGAGAGCCCAACATGTAGCCACAACCTGCCCCACTCCCATATTGAGAGAGCCCAATATGTAGCCACAACCTGCCCCACTCCACCATTAACCATACCCAGAGGATGGGTATGGGGTAGACAACAACAACAAAGCAGGTCAAGCATAAGAGTAGTGTCACCGTTAAAGAGGTAGTGGTCGCAGATGTCGGAGCCGGTGTCGGCGGGGGAGCCCCGCGGGTGGAAGAGGTAGGGACACTCTCTGGCGTCCTTCAGGCAGGTCAGCCCGGGGCCACACTTGCCGTAGGCGCTCCATGGACCCCCGCACTCCTCGTCCAACTCCTGCGTGTACAACACATTAGTCCTTTCAAATTGTTAGACGACAAAGAGTGTTGGGAAGACGGGACACCACGAGCGTAGCTCTCATCCTGTAACTATACACTCGGGTAATTACTCCCCGTTTATGAAGGCCAAGGTTATGTAGTTCTACGTTATATGTAGTGTGTTAAGGTGTATTGAGGTGAGTCAAGAGCACCAGGGCGGTGCTCACCAGGCCGTTTTTTTATTCATAAACAGCTGGGGTTTGGCGGGTGCATGGAATCACTTTCGGGTCTTTGTTTGGAGGACGGGCTGATTCATAAACAACGACCCAAAGACCATTCCATCCACCCACCAACCCCTCAGCTGTTTATGAATGAAAAAGGGTTTACAAACGACTCACAACTGCTGACGTTCGAACACTTCCGGAACAAGTGCTTCACTGACGACTTGTGTTCGAACCACAACGCTGTAAATGCTTCACCCACGTACTACAAATAATGGCCAACAGAACCTAAACACCTAACCTAACCTGTGCCTAAATATGTACAATATGGTAATATAAATAATTAAAAAATTTATATTTGAGTGTGAGGAAAAGAGGCGAGGCGCTGACCACTGACCTTGGCACACACTTCACAACAGTTGCACACGTCCCAAGTGATGCCCAGTGGGCACTCCCCGATGGCTGGGCACCTGCTGGGGGAGCATGGCACGCACTCCAAGGTCTCTGGTCTGTAACACAACACTGGTTATACTCCTGTGTTGGCCCCACCAACACCCCCCACAGTCTACCCAACACTGGTTATACTCCAGTGTTGACCCCACCAACACTACACCCCCCACAGTCTACCCAACACTGGTTATACTCCAGTGTTGACCCCACCAACACTACACCCCCCCCACAGTCTACCCAACACTGGTTATACTCCAGTGTTGACCCCACCAACACTACACCCCCCCCACAGTCTACCCAACACTGGTTATACTCCAGTGTTGACCCCACCAACACTACACCCCCCCCACAGTCTACCCAACACTGGTTATACTCTCCTGTGTTGGCCCCACCAACACTACACACTCACACAGTCTACCCAACACTGGTTATACTCTCCTGTGTTGGCCCCACCAACAAAACACCAACACCCCCCCCCCACAGTCTACCCAACACTGGTTATACTCTCCTGTGTTGACTCCACCAACACCAACACCCCCCACAGTCTACCCAACACTGGTTATACTCTCCTGTGTTGACCCCACCAACCCCCCCCCCCCACAGTCTACCCAACACTGGTTATACTCTCCTGTGTTGGCCCCACCAACACTACACCAACACCCCCCCCCCACAGTCTACCCAACACTGGTTATACTCTCCTGTGTTGGCCCCACCAACACTACACCAACACCCCCCCCCCCCCACAGTCTACCCAACACTGGTTATACTCTCCTGTGTTGACTCCACCAACACTACACCCTCCCACAGTCTACCCAACACTGGTTATACTCCTGTCTTGACCCCACCAACACTACATCCTCCCACAGTCTACCCAACACTGGTTATACTCCTGTGTTGACTCCACCCCCACCCCCCCCCCCACAGTCTACCCAACACTGGTTATACTCCTGTCTTGACTCCACCAACACTACACCCCCCACAGTCTACCCAACACTGGTTATACTCCTGTGTTGACTCCACCAACACTACACCCCCCCCCCACAGTCTACCCAACACTGGTGGGGCAACACACACCGACTAAGGTAAGACACTATTGTACCTGCCTCACAGTGGTGAGGCAGGTACAGTAGTGAGGCAGGTACAGGAGTGAGGCAGGTACAGAAGTGAGGCAGGTACAGGAGTGAGGCAGGTACAGGGGTGAGGCAGGTACAGGAGTGAGGCAGGTACAGGGGTGAGGCAGGTACAGGGGTGAGGCAGGTACAGGGGTGAGGCAGGTACAGGAGTGAGGCAGGTACAGGGGTGAGGCAGGTACAGGAGTGAGGCAGGTACATGAGTGAGGCAGGTACAGTGGTGAGGCAGGTACAGGGGTGAGGCAGGTACAGGGGTGAGGCAGGTACAGTGGTGAGGCAGGTACAGGAGTGAGGCAGGTATAGGGGTGAGGCAGGTACAAGGGTGAGGCAGGTACAGGGGTGAGGCAGGTACAGTGGTGAGGCAGGTACAGGAGTGAGGCAGGTATAGGGGTGAGGCAGGTACAAGGGTGAGGCAGGTACAGGGGTGAGGCAGGTACAGTGGTGAGGCAGGTACAGGGGTGAGGCAGGTACAGGGGTGAGGCAGGTACAGTGGTGAGGCAGGTACAGGGGTGAGGCAGGTACAGGGGTGAGGCAGGTACAGGAGTGAGGCAGGTACAGGGGTGAGGCAGGTACAAGGGTGAGGCAGGTACAGGGGTGAGGCAGGTACAGGAGTGAGGCAGGTACAGGGGTGAGGCAGGTACAGGGGTGAGGCAGGTTACATACCTGAGGGCGGTGAGGGCGGCGGAGGCTGTGATGAGAGTGAGGGAGATGACAGACAGCATCATCCACCTGTAACACCACACTCTTGGTTATACCCTCACTATACTCTGTGTGTACTCTTGGTTATACCCTCACTATACTCTCTGTGTGTACTCTTGGTTATACCCTCACTATACTCTCTGTGTGTACTCTTGGTTATACCCTCACTATACTCTCTGTGTGTACTCTTGGTTATACCCTCACTATACTCTCTGTGTGTACTCTTGGTTATACCCTCACAACACTCTCTGGGTGTACTGTTGGTTATACCCTCACTACACTCTCTGGGTGTACTGTTGGTTATACCCTCACTACACTCTCTGGGTGTACTGTTGGTTATACCCTCACAACACTCTCTGGGTGTACTGTTGGTTATACCCTCACAACACTCTCTGGGTGTACTGTTGGTTATACCCTCACTACACTCTCTGGGTGTACTGTTGGTTATACCCTCACTACACTCTCTGGGTGTACTCTTGGTTATACCCTCACTACACTCTCTGGGTGTACTCTTGGTTATACCCTCACTACACTCTCTGGGTGTACTGTTGGTTATACCCTCACTACACTCTCTGGGTGTACTGTTGGTTATACCCTCACTACACTCTCTGGGTGTACTCTTGGTTATACCCTCACTACACTCTCTGGGTGTACTCTTGGTTATACCCTCACTACACTCTCTGGGTGTACTCTTGGTTATACCCTCACTACACTCTCTGGGTGTACTGTTGGTTATACCCTCACAACACTCTCTGGGTGTACTCTTGGTTATATCCTTCACTATACTCTCTGGGTGTACTGTTGGTTATACCCTCACTACACTCTCTGGGTGTACTGTTGGTTATACCCTCACAACACTCTCTGGGTGTACTCTTGGTTATACCCTCACAACACTCTCTGGGTGTACTGTTGGTTATACCCTCACAACACTCTCTGGGTGTACTGTTGGTTATACCCTCACAACACTCTCTGGGTGTACTGTTGGTTATACCCTCACAACACTCTCTGGGTGTACTGTTGGTTATACCCTCACTACACTCTCTGGGTGTACTCTTGGTTATACCCTCACAACACTCTCTGGGTGTACTGTTGGTTATACCCTCACTACACTCTCTGGGTGTACTGTTGGTTATACCCTCACTACACTCTCTGGGTGTACTCTTGGTTATACCCTCACTACACTCTCTGGGTGTACTGTTGGTTATACCCTCACAACACTCTCTGGGTGTACTCTTGGTTATACCCTCACTACACTCTCTGGGTGTACTGTTGGTTATACCCTCACTACACTCTCTGGGTGTACTCTTGGTTATACCCTCACTACACTCTCTGGGTGTACTCTTGGTTATACCCTCACTACACTCTCTGGGTGTACTCTTGGTTATACCCTCACTACACTCTCTGGGTGTACTCTTGGTTATACCCTCACTACACTCTCTGGGTGTACTCTTGGTTATACCCTCACTACACTCTCTGGGTGTACTCTTGGTTATACCCTCACTACACTCTCTGGGTGTACTCTTGGTTATACCCTCACTACACTCTCTGGGTGCACTGTTGGTTATACCCTCACTACACTCTCTGGGTGTACTCTTGGTTATACTTTTATATAAAGTCAATATACTTTTGTCAGTACAATAGTGTCAGTATACTGGCATCAGTATACATGTGTCAGCATATATGCGTCAGTATAATGATGCCAGTATACATGTGTCAGTATAATGATGCCAGTATACATGTGTCAGTATAATGATGCCAGTATACATGTGTCAGTATAATGATGCCAGTATACATGTGTCAGTATAATGATGCAAGTATACTGCGTCAGTATACATGTGTCAGTATAATGATGCCAGTATTCTGGCGTCAGTATACATGTGTCAGTATACATGCGTCAGTATACATGTGTCAGTATAATGATGCAAGTATACTGCGTCAGTATACATGTGTCAGTATAATGATGCCAGTATACTGTGTCAGTATAATGATGCCAGTATACATGCGTCAATATACATGTGTCAGTATAATGATGCCAGTATACTGCGTCAGTATAATGATGCCAGTATACATGCGTCAATATACATGTCAGTATAATGATGCCAGTATACTGCGTCAGTATTCATGTGTCAGTATAATGATGCCAGTATACTGCGTCAGTATAATCATGCCAGTATACTGCGTCAATATACATGTGTCAGTATAATGATGCCAGTATACTGCGTCAGTATTCATGTGTCAGTATAATGATGCCAGTTTACTGCGTCAGTATAATCATGCCAGCATACATGCGTCAATATACATGTGTCAGTATAATGATGCCAGTATACTGCGTCAGTATAATGATGCCAGTATACATGCGTCAGTATTCATGTGTCAGTATAATGATGCCAGTATACATGCGTCAGTATTCATGTGTCAGTATAATGATGCCAGTATACATGCGTCAGTATACATGTGTCAGTATAATGATGCCAGTATACTGCGTCAGTATAATGATGCCAGTATACATGCGTCAGTATTCATGTGTCAGTATAATGATGCCAGTATACATGCGTCAGTATGCATGTGTCAGTATACTGGTGCAATAGCAAGATGCAACAGTTCTCAGGATAACACTGAGACACAAGGAAGGACGGAATATGGGGCCAACTTGGAGCTGGGATGTGAGTATAGAGGGAAGGAACGGTCGCTAGTCACTTTGACCATCGGGGATCGATCTCCGGCCCTGCAAGAAGCGAGACCGTCTGTCTACCAACCGGATTTGATGTTCCGCTCTATTGATTGCATTCTTTACATTACTGCAGCTACACTGCCTTCATATTTAATCTGTTATCAACCTGAGCGTCAACCTTTAAGTGATATTAGATGTTCTGTCAAAGTGACGTTTCCTCAGACAAATGAGCATCGGCTTGGTATAATTAATGCGGGCTGCGAACGGTTGTACGGGAATCCGCTTCAAATTTAACTCATGTTAAATATGTAAACAACGGAGAATGTTTAGAACTGAGCACCGAGTCACGTGCATAAACACTCACGGTGAAGCCAGGCGAGGTCTTCCTTCTGACGTGAAGCAGGCGCTACTGGACCTTCTTCCTCTCCTCCACCCTTTATATACTGCCTGAGTGACGTCACACACTATTCATATGCTGCAGGTCACAATGTCCTGACCTTCAGCAGGTGGAGACCTTTGCCATATTGTCCGGTTTCCATACTGGGGGCCAGGGCCCCCTGGGGGAGTTTGGGAACCACTGCTTACCTGCTTGATGGGGTTCTGGGAGTTCTTCTACTCCCCAAGCCTGGCCCGAGGCCAGGCTTGATTGTGAGAGTTTGGTCCACCAGGCTGTTGCTTGGAGCGGCCCGCAGGCCCACATACCCACCACAGCCCGGTTGGTCCACCAGGCTGTTGCTTGGAGCGGCCCGCAGGCCCACATACCCACCACAGCCCGGTTGGTCCACCAGGCTGTTGCTTGGAGCGGCCGCAGGCCCACATTCCCACCACAGCCCGGTTGGTCCACCAGGCTGTTGCTTGGAGCGGCCCGCAGGCCCACATACCCACCACAGCCCGGTTGGTCCACCAGGCTGTTGCTTGGAGCGGCCCGCAGGCCCACATACCCACCACAGCCCGGTTGGTCCACCAGGCTGTTGCTTGGAGCGGCCGCAGGCCCACATTCCCACCACAGCCCGGTTGGTCCACCAGGCTGTTGCTTGGAGCGGCCCGCAGGCCCACATACCCACCACAGCCCGGTTGGTCCACCAGGCTGTTGCTTGGAGCGGCCGCAGGCCCACATACCCACCACAGCCCGGTTGGTCCACCAGGCTGTTGCTTGGAGCGGCCCGCAGGCCCACATACCCACCACAGCCCGGTTGGTCCACCAGGCTGTTGCTTGGAGCGGCCCGCAGGCCCACATACCCACCACAGCCCGGTTGGTCCACCAGGCTGTTGCTTGGCGCGGCCCGCAGGCCCACATACCCACCACAGCCCGGTTGGTCCACCAGGCTGTTGCTTGGCGCGGCCCGCAGGCCCACATACCCACCACAGCCTGGTTGGTCCAGCACTCCTTGGAGGAAATGATCTAGTCCACGGTTGTTCCGGCAACATTTCTTGTGCTCGCTGGGAGGACGTTGAACAACCGTGGACCTCTGATGTTTATACAGTGTTCTCTGATTGTGCCTATGGCACCTCAGTTCTTCACTGGTTCTATTCTGCATTTTCTTCCATATCGTTCACTCCAGTACGTTGTTATTTTACTGTGTAGATTTGGTACTTGGCCCTCCAGTATTTTCCACGTGTATATTATTTGGTATCTCTCTCGTCTCCTTTCTAGTGAGTACATTTGGAGAGCTTTGAGACGATCCCAATAATTTAGGTGCTTTATCGCGTCTATGCGTGCCGTATATGTTCTCTGTATTCCATCTATTTCAGCAATCTCTCCTGCTCTGAAGGGGGAAGTGAGTACTGAGCAGTACTCAAGACAGGACAACACAAGTGACTTGAAGAGTACAACCATTGTGATGGGATCCCTGGATTTGAAAGTTCTCGTAATCCATCCGATCATTTTTCTGGCTGACGCAATATTTGCTTGGTTATGCTCCCTAAACGTTAGGTCGTCAGACATCATTATTCTCAAATCTTTGACATGCTGTTTTCCGCTCAGGGGGGAACAAGACTATGAGCAGATTTGATTGTGTTTTGTACCCTGTATTATGTTTCAGATCCTCATTTTTGCCGTATCTGAGTACCTGGAATTTATCACTGTTAAACATCATGTTATTTTCTGCTGCCCAGTCGAAAACTTTGTTAATGTCTGTTTGTAGTTTTTCAGTGTCTTCAGCAGAGGTAATTTCATGTTCTAAAGTGGTGGTACAAACCAATGAAGGCGATGTAAACATTAGTGATGCACCCTATTTTTATATTTTGTGCACCCCATACTGCTCCTGTGAGTGGTAGTGTATTGTGCACCCCATACTGCTCCTGTGAGTGGTAGTGTATTGTGCACCCCATACTGCTCCTGTGGGTGGTAGTGTATTGTGCACCCCATACTGCTCCTGTGAGTGGTAGTGTATTGTGCACCCCATACTGCTCCTGTGAGTGGTAGTGTATTGTGCACCCCATACTGCTCCTGTGAGTGGTAGTGTATTGTGCACCCCATACTCGTCCTGTGAGTGGTAGTGTATTGTGCACCCCATACTCCTCCTGTGAGTGGTAGTGTATTGTGCACCCCATACTCGTCCTGTGAGTGGTAGTGTATTGTGCACCCCATACTCGTCCTGTGAGTGGTAGTGTATTGTGCACCCCATACTGCTCCTGTGAGTGGTAGTGTATTGTGCACCCCATACTGCTCCTGTGAGTGGTAGTGTATTGTGCACCCCATACTGCTCCTGTGAGTGGTAGTGTATTGTGCACCAGACAATTAACAGATTTACCCGATTTAACAAACGTAGCTCAGTAAAGACAATACCCAACTATGCAACATAGACAGATATAAAGCCACTGACAACTGCCGGCCTGACGAAGGTGGTGGTACAGCTGTTATCAAGATAACTTCAATTTCACAAGTGTTATTAGCAATGGAGACGACAGCTGTGAATATACCTTTGCTCAATTCTCGGTCAAATCCCAAAAATCGTCATTAACTATTGAAGTTATTTTTAGATTTCCCAATACTAATACAAGTACATTCTCAGATAATATAAGGAACCTAATCATAAACAATAAACCCACAAAAACCACATCATCCTAGGAGGAGACTTGACCATTGACCTGTCAACAAAACAGCCCCCAAGTCGAATACTTCCTAAACAGCATGAACTCCTGTATGCTAATCCCCCACAACCACCAAGGCCACACAAATTACCCAAACATCTGCTACAAACCCGGACAACATATGGACTAACATAACAGCCCCCCGCTTATCTCTGGTATAATCACTGACAGAACAACTGATCACTACATACCCTACCTTCCTCTCAGCAAACATGGACATAACACCCTCCGTTACCAATAAACTTACCTTTAGACTGCACAATAAACCAGCAATAGGGAACCTCATAAATACACTACACAATATAAACTGGGAATGTGAACTCAGCAATACACAGGATATAAATGCATTTGCCGACATCTTTTTCTCCCAAACTCTAAGCCTCTACAACACACACTGTCCTCTCCTCACCAAGCAAGTAACTGCTAAAAGATTAAACAATCCCTGGCTCACAAGTGGCATACTTAAAGCAATTAACAAGAAACACGAATATGAAAATAAACAGAGGAATGGTCTGGTTACAAAAGAAGTTAAGAGATACTCGTTAATGGTTACCAATGTAATACGAAGAGCCAAAGATTCCTTTTATGAGAACAGATTTAGAGAAGGAAAAGAAAATATGAAACGTACATGGAAAGTCATCTCTAACATCCTAGGGTCTAAACAACAATCACATAACAACCCGATAAAACTCTCCAAATATGGTTACACACTTGCAATAGACTTTGATATTGGTACGGAATTTAATAGCTTCTTTTCTTTAATAGCTTCTTCTTTTAATAGCTGCCCGAAACGTTTTGCGTAATAGTGGCTTTAGGCATTGTATGTACTAGCTCTATCTATCAATGCATCAAATTTTGGAAAATCTCTTGTATGTATGTACCTTACCTGAATAAACATTTTATTTATTTTATTTTTTTTATATCTATAATTCAATCACTTAAAACCAAAGCTGGGAACATTAATGAAATACCATCTAAGATATATATAAGAGTGCTGCCCCTACTCTTGCACCACCCATAGCTCTGCTATTCAGGTATTATTGAACCGTTATAAACAAATCTCTCGAGCGTCATACATTTTCTGATATCCTTAAAAAAGTCAGGGTGACGCCAGTTCATAAAGGAGGCGAGACAGCAGACATTAACAATTACAGACCAGTATCAAAGCTACCAGCTATACTTTCAAAAATATTTAAAACAAATTATTTACAAACAGCTCTATTTCTACGTTGTAAAACTCCACATGTTAAATCCCTGCCAGTTTGGCTTCCGTTCCCAAAAGAGTACCAATGATGCCATTATTAGTCTGCTTAATATAATCTACACAGCCCTTGACAAAAATGAGTTCCCAATTGCCCTCTTCATTTACCTGAGACAGACCTTTGATTCTGTAAACCATAACAACCTCTTACTTAGTCTTCACCACTATGGTACCCGAGGCCTTGCTCTGAGCTATATTTGTTCCTCTCTCAGTGACAGACACCAACATGTAGCCATCAATAACATAACCTCCCCCACTCTACCATTCGCAGTAGGGGTGACACAGGGCAGCATCTTGGGACCTCTCCTATTTCTTATATACATCAATGATTTGCCAAATGTTTCTAACACTCTTAAACCCATACTATTTGCTGACGATACTACCTTCGTCTGTTCTGACTCCAACCCCCACACACTAAATAATATTGTTAACAATGAATTAAAAAGGTTCACTTATGGCTAACAACTTACACTAAAAATAGAAGAAACCTACTACATTCTATTTGGTAGTAAATCATCAAATCTGATTCAACTTCAGATAAACAATGTTAACATTACCAATAAAAATGAGGGGAAGTTCCTTGGCCTATACCTAGATAAGAGACTCAACTTCACCACCACATTCAACACATAGCTCAAAAGGTCTCCAAAACGGTCAGTATACTTTACAAAATCCGTTATTATGTTCCCCACTCTGTTCTCCTGCCATTATACTAGGCGGTAAACTATCCCCATCTTACATACGGTATCTGTGTATGGGGACCAACCAGAGCCTAGTGTCTCAAGCCTGTCCTCACCCACAAGTATCTGCTCTCACAACTGTCACAAACTGTGTCCTCTGTCTTCAGACAACACCCGGCACCTTTGTTTAGGTCCCTTGACTTGGGGAGGTGACCTGTGGAGTGTAGGGAGTGGGGAGGTGACCAGGGGAGTGTAGTGAGTAGGGAGGTGACCTGGGGAGTGTAGTGAGTGGTGAGGTGACCTGGTGAGTGTAGTGAACGAGGAGGTGACCTGGGGAGTGTAGTGAGTGGTGAGGTGACCTGGTGAGTGTAGTGAACGGGGAGGTGACCTGGGGAGTGTAGTGAACGGGGAGGTGACCTGTGGAGTGTAGTGAGTAGGGAGGTGACCTGGGGAGTGTAGTGAGTAGGGAGGTGACCTGGGGAGTGTAGTGAGTGGTGAGGTGACCTGGTGAGTGTAGTGAGTAGGGAGGTGACCTGGGGAGTGTAGTGAACGGGGAGGTGACCTGGGGAGTGTAGTGAGTGGGGAGGTGACCTGGTGAGTGTAGTGAGTAGGGAGGTGACCTGGTGAGTGTAGTGAGTAGGGAGGTGACCTGTGGAGTGTAGTGAGTAGGGAGGTGACCTGGTGAGTGTAGTGAGTAGGGAGGTGACCTGGGGAGTGTAGTGAACGGGGAGGTGACCTGGGGAGTGTAGTGAACGGGGAGGTGACCTGGGGAGTGTAGTGAGTGGGGAGGGAGAGGGGTGAGAGTGGGTAGGTGACCTGGGGAGTGTAGTGAGTGGGGAGGGAGAGGGGTGAGAGTGGGTAGGTGACCTGGGGAGTGTAGTGAGTGGGGAGGGAGAGGGGTGAGGGTGGGTAGGTGACCTGGGGAGTGTAGTGAGTGGGGAGGGAGAGGGGTGAGAGTGGGTAGGTGACCTGGGGAGTGTAGTGAGTGGGGAGGGAGTGGGGTGAGAGTGGGTAGGTGACCTGGGGAGTGTAGGGAGCACAGGCTGGGTGTCAGGGCCAGACACGGCCGCCGTCACACACCATTGTCGGCCCTCACCATGGGTCCTGCCCTCTGGCCCGCCCGGGGCGCCCGCCTTCTCTCCAGGCGCACGTGGGCGGCAGTCTCTCGTGGGTGGCAGTCTCGTGGGCGGCAGTCTCTCGTGGGTGGCAGTGTTGCGTGGGTGGCAGTCTCTCGTGGGCGGCAGTGTTGCGTGGGCGGCAGTCTCTCGTGGGTGGCAGTCTCGTGGGCGGCAGTCTCTTGTGGGTGGCAGTCTCTCGTGGGCGGCAGTGTTGCGTGGGTGGCAGTCTCTCGTGGGCGGCAGTGTTGCGTGGGTGGCAGTCTCTCGTGGGCGGCAGTGTTGCGTGGGTGGCAGTCTCTCGTGGGCGGCAGTCTCTCGTGGGTGGCAGTCTCTCGTGGGTGGCAGTCTCTCGTGGGCGGCAGTCTCTCGTGGGTGGCAGTCTCTCGTGGGCGGCAGTGTTGCGTGGGTGGCAGTGTTGCGTGGGTGGCAGTGTTGCGTGGGCGGCAGTCTCTCGTGGGCGGCAGTCTCTCGTGGGTGGCAGTGTTGCGTGGGTGGCAGTCTCTCGTGGGTGGCAGTCTCTCGTGGGCGGCAGTCTCTCGTGGGTGGCAGTGTTGCGTGGGTGGCAGTCTCTCGTGGGTGGCAGTCTCTCGTGGGCGGCAGTCTCGTGGGCGGCAGTCTCTCTCTCGTGGGTGGCAGTCTCTCGTGGGCGGCAGTCTCTCGTGGGCGGCAGTCTCTCGTGGGCGGCAGTCTCTCGTGGGTGGCAGTGTTGCGTGGGCGGCAGTCTCTCGTGGGTGGCAGTCTCTCGTGGGCGGCAGTCTCTCGTGGGCGGCAGTCTCTCGTGGGCGGCAGTCTCTCGTGGGTGGCAGTGTTGCGTGGGTGGCAGTGTTGCGTGGGCGGCAGTCTCTCGTGGGTGGCAGTCTCTCGTGGGCGGCAGTCTCTCGTGGGCGGCAGTCTCTCGTGGGTGGCAGTCTCTCGTGGGTGGCAGTCTCTCGTGGGCGGCAGTCTCTCGTGGGTGGCAGTGTTGCGTGGGTGGCAGTCTCTCGTGGGTGGCAGTCTCTCGTGGGCGGCAGTCTCGTGGGCGGCAGTCTCTCGTGGGTGGCAGTCTCTCGTGGGCGGCAGTGTTGCGTGGGCGGCAGTCTCTCGTGGGTGGCAGTCTCTCGTGGGCGGCAGTCTCTCGTGGGTGGCAGTCTCTCGTGGGCGGCAGTCTCTCGTGGGCGGCAGTCTCTCGTGGGCGGCAGTCTCTCGTGGATGGCAGTGTTGCGTGGGCGGCAGTCTCTCGTGGATGGCAGTGTTGCGTGGGTGGCAGTCTCTCGTGGGTGGCAGTGTTGCGTGGGCGGCAGTCTCTCGTGGGTGGCAGTGTTGCGTGGGCGGCAGTCTCTCGTGGGTGGCAGTGTTGCGTGGGCGGCAGTCTCTCGTGGGTGGCAGTGTTGCGTGGGTGGCAGTCTCTCGTGGGTGGCAGTGTTGCGTGGGCGGCAGTCTCTCGTGGGTGGCAGTGTTGCGTGGGCGGCAGTCTCTTGTGGGTGGCAGTCTCTCGTGGGTGGCAGTGTTGCGTGGGTGGCAGTCTCTCGTGGGTGGCAGTGTTGCGTGGGTGGCAGTCTCTCGTGGGTGGCAGTGTTGCGTGGGTGGCAGTCTCTCGTGGGTGGCAGTGTTGCGTGGGCGGCAGTCTCTCGTGGGTGGCAGTGTTGCGTGGGCGGCAGTCTCTCGTGGGTGGCAGTGTTGCGTGGGTGGCAGTCTCGTGGGCGGCAGTAGTCTCTCTTTGGTGGCAGTCTCTCGTGGGTGGCAGTCTCTCGTGGGCGGCAGTCTCTCTTTGGTGGCAGTCTCTCGTGGGTGGCAGTCTCTCTTTGGTGGCAGTCTCTCGTGGGCGGCAGTCTCTCGTGGGTGGCAGTGTTGCGTGGGTGACAGTGTTAGGTGTGGAGTACTAGGCTCCTGACAAGAAGGGTGTGGAGTACTAGGCTCCTGAGAGGAAGGGTTATCTTCTTGAGGTTATCTTGAGATGATTTCGGGGCTTTAGTGTCCCCGCGGCCCGGTCCTCGACCAGGCCTCCACCCCCAGGAAGCAGCCCGTGACAGCTGACTAACTCCCAGGTACCTATTTACTGCTAGGTAACAGGGGCATTCAGGGTGAAAGAAACTTTGCCCATTTGTTTCTGCCTCGTGCGGGAATCGGACCCGCGCCACATAATTACGAGTCCTGCGCGCTATCAACCAGGCTACGAGGCCCTACGAGGGTGTGGAGTACTAGGCTCCTGACAGGAAGGGTGTGGAGTACTAGGCTCCGGACAGGAAGGGTGTGGAGTACTAGGCTCCTGACAGGAAGGGTGTGGAGTACTAGGCTCCTGACAAGAAGGGTGTGGAGTACTAGGCTCCTGAGAGGAAGGGTGTGGAGTACTAGGCTCCTGAGAGGAAGGGTGTGGAGTACTAGGCTCCTGACAGGAAGGGTGTGGAGTACTAGGCTCCTGAGAGGAAGGGTGTGGAGTACTAGGCTCCTGACAGGAAGGGTGTGGAGTACTAGGCTCCTGACAGGAAGGGTGTGGAGTACTAGGCTCCTGACAGGAAGGGTGTGGAATACTAGGCTCCTGACAGGAAGGGTGTGGAGTACTAGGCTCCTGACAGGAAGGGTGTGGAGTACTAGGCTCCTGACAGGAAGGGTGTGGAGTACTAGGCTCCTGACAGGAAGGGTGTGGAGTACTAGGCTCCTGACAAGAAGGGTGTGGAGTACTAGGCTCCTGAGAGGAAGGGTGTGGAGTACTAGGCTCCTGAGAGGAAGGGTGTGGAGTACTAGGCTCCTGACAGGAAGGGTGTGGAGTACTAGGCTCCTGACAGGAAGGGTGTGGAGTACTAGGCTCCTGACAGGAAGGGTGTGGAGTACTAGGCTCCTGAGAGGAAGGGTGTGGAGTACTAGGCTCCTGAGAGGAAGTGTGTAGAATACTAGGCTCCTTAGAGGAAGGGTGTAGAGTACTAGGCTCCTGAGAGGAAGGGTGTGGAGTACTAGGCTCCTGAGAGGAAGGGTGTGGAGTACTAGGCTCCTGAGAGGAAGGGTGTGGAGTACTAGGCTCCTGAGAGGAAAGGTGTGGAGTACTAGGCTCCTCAGAGGAGGGGTGTGGAGTACTAGGGTCCTTAGAGGAAGGGTGTAGAGTACTAGGCTCCTCAGAGGCAGGGTGTAGAGTACTAGGCTCCTCAGAGGAGGGGTGTGGAGTACTAGGGTCCTTAGAGGAAGGGTGTAGAGTACTAGGCTCCTCAGAGGCAGGGTGTAGAGTACTAGGCTCCTCTGAGGAGGGGTGTGGAGTACCTTTATTTTTTAGCATAAATCACGGTGATTTGCACATACAGTACTGCATTTGGCCATTTTATATAGAAAATATGCTAATAATTTAAAGCGGCTGTTTGTCATATTTTATCTAAATCCACCTGCAGTTTTCAAAATACGAAATTGGAAATATGACCCTTGACCATTATTTTTTAGCGTAATTCAGAGTGATTGTATATATTTAAAGTTTTAAAGTACAATCTGTCATATTAAATGTTTCCATATTTACCCGAGGGGCACTAACACTAGTGGCCTCAACGAGGACAGGAAGCCTGTGGCTTGTAGCCAAGAAGGTTACAACTCTAGTGTACCTCATTCCTTCTTGACAGCAGGAGTTGCAAAATCTCATATGAAGCACAAGTTCGCTTCCATCATGAGTATGCACCGCTCTTCAGGATGGCTTGCCCTTCCATCAATTATCTCATTTCTGGACAAGGTGAAGAACTGTGTGAAGACTCATCACCAAGCCCCTGAATTTTGTATTTTGAGGGGCATCACATAGCCCCTAGTGCAGGGGGAGTGACTATTTACAACTTATGTTCTCTTCGTGGAGTCTCTCAATCATCATACCACATTTGGTTGAAATCTTACAAAATTGTCCAAGTTCACAACAAACTGTGCTCACCAGTGAATAACCCAAGGATTCACTATTACTTAAGCAATGTGTGGAAATGTAACTTTTTATTCAGGAATATTTTGCATTTTAGGGAAAGCTTTATTTGCAGTGAACCTACAATTTATCTGGTACGGTGTGGTGCGGTAATTTAACCCGTTAAGTACCCCATGAATTTAACATCAAATATTTATTTATAATCATGCTGTATTAGTATTCAAGGAAGATACACCTAGTTTTTTGACATGTTTTATAATAGGTATTTAAGAAATGTGGTCTAGTAATCTAGGTTCAGCTTAATGGGTTAAGAAATAGGCATAACAATTAGCAACATTATATTATCTTACCACCTGGTTACATTGAGACGGCCTATCTAGTACATGTAGACTCATCCCTATCGGCATACTTATGATTTACACACTATATTACCAGGTCCAACAGTTTAGCAAACACATTGCTCAGCTTGAGACACTGGACATGCAGCATCTTAGCGTCATGGCACTGGAGCTGTACTATCACATCATCAGATCAAATTAAACATGCATCCTTCACAGAGTTGGCTAACTCACGCGTGCCTGGGTTTATCCTACTCATTGCAAGAATTGTCAAAGTTTTGTTGGTCAAATAATATGAATGCAATTGGTACTAAATAAATATATGGGTTTGGCTGTATAGTGACTAGACTAATCCCACAATTAACTTGTGGAAATATGGCAGCTATGAAAGATGCGGTGTTTGGTCAGGATGCTAGTAGCCACGCAGGAAGGCACGCGCTACCTCAAGAATTATCTCTAGCTATATGCTAGTGGTCAAACAGATCACATGCACTATAATACAAGAAACAGATAAATGCACAAGCAAACAATATATAAACCTAAAATGAAAAAATATGACATGACAAATATAAAAATGCATAAGAATGTTTATGGGTAGGGAGAAAATAATATACAGATATGACATGCAGAACATTATTTAACATATACTGTATAATACAATAATGCTGAAGCATGTATATCGGTGGGGATAATCAATAAAATTTAACACCGGAAGGATTGATTTAGTACAATGTATTGTGTCAAATTTAGTTATCAGTGGTTTGTGTAAAAGTCACATTTTGTGACAAATGTAAGTATCAGCAGTTGGAGGAGTCAAAGTCACATGTTTATGAGACTATAAATGTCATACAATAATATGTGTGGACATATATAACATATTGAACCTTTTATTAAATTATTACAGAACACGATACTGTATATCACAACCCAAGATGTTCATGACATATTTTTTTACAGTTTAATTTGCTTTACAAATTACAGATGACCAATTCCAAATCACACTAAAAATTTATATGGCTCCTTTAAACGAACTATCGTTGCGAATGTTAATTCTTTAAATTCAGTCATGATTTTAAGGAAAGTGCACAAAGAGGTTCAGAAAGGGCTCATGTGTGCATGGCTGAAAGACAGTGCCAATTGAAGGTGAGAATTCAAAACAGTTCCTGATACCACTGCTGAAAGTTGAGGAGAAAGTTACAGAGCAAATTGGAATGTATTTGTAAATTTGACAAGCCTGTCAGGGCAAGGTTCATATTGTCTTATCAGACAGGATGATGTGTTTGGGTATGTTTTCTTACACCTCATGCCTCTGTTCACCTATTGGTAACTAGACACCCACAAATTAGGCAAGAGTTGTGGGTTGCTTCCTAGGAAGGTCAGTTGTTGACCCAGAGGAACATGAATAATCCTAACAGAATTAGATAACCCCAGCAGGGACATACTATAGTATGTCGTTATATCTAATCCCTTCCTGCCAATATTATTATTATTATTATTATTATTGTAATATATATATATATATATATATATATATATATATATATATATATATATATATATATATATATATATATATATATATATATATATATATATATGTCGTACCTAGTAGCCAGAACGCACTTCTCGGCCTACTATTCAAGGCCCAATTTGCCTAATAAGCCAAGTTTTCCTGAATTATTATATTTTCTCTAATTTTTTTCTTATGAGATGATAAATCTACTCATTTCATTACGAATGAGATCAATTTTTATTTATTGGAGTTAAAATTAACGTAGATATATGACCGAACCTAACCAACCCTACCTAACCTAACCTAACCAATCTTTATAGGTTAGGTTAGGTTTGGTAGCCGAAAAAGTTAGGTTAGGTTAGATTAGGTAGGTTAGGTAGTCGAAAAACAATTAATTCATGAAAACTTGGCTTATTAGGCAAATTGGGCCTTGCATAGTAGACATAGAAGTGCCTTCTGGCTACTAGGTACGACATATATATATATATATATATATATATATATATATATATATATATATATATATATATATATATATATATATATATATATATATATGTCGTACCTAGTAGCCAGAACGCACTTCTCAGCCTACTATGCAAGGCCCGATTTGCCTAATAAGCCAAGTTTTCATGAATTAATGTTTTTTCGACTACCTAACCTTCCTAACCTAACTTTTTCGGCTACCTAACCTAACCTATAAAGATAGGTTAGGTTAGGTTAGGTTCAGTTATTTATCTACGTTAATTTTAACTCCAATAAAAAAAAATTGACCTCATACATAATGAAATGGGTAGCTTTATCATTTCATAAGAAAAAAATTTGAGAAAATACATTAATTCAGGAAAACTTGGCTTATTAGGCAAATCGGGCCTTGCACAGTAGGCCGAGAAGTGCGTTCTGGCTACTAGGTATGACATACATTATATATACTGTATATATATATATATATATATATATATATATATATATATATATATATATATATATATATATATATATATATATATATATATATATATATATATATATACATACACACACACACATGCTATACCTTCAGAATTGCACTTTGAAATGACTAGAAACTTCTAATAAAATACTTATGCAGTCAATTACGTTAAAAAAAGAACGCTCCTTTTTAAATCAGGTTTGAACTCCTGGCAGCTGTTGATAAAATCAATTTATATTTTATGTGCAGAGCAGTACTGTAACAGCAAATAAACCTAACTGCACAAGTTATAATGGTTCATGACAATATAAAATGGCACCTGAAGAGTGTATATGGGACAAAATGGCATTTGCATTATTGTTTACATGCAGTATTTACATATTGTCACAATGAAACATGCATATGAAACTTGTAACTTTATTTCATGATAAATGAATCAAAAGATATGGAAAAACTCCAGCTTGGAATGTAATGAAATGTCTCTTTCTGGTAGAGCCCCAGTGGCTCCCTGATGTTACCTTGCCGACATTGCTCCTAGCTACTAGGTCACATCAGTCGCAGGAATTCTGTTTGGCTTACTGGGGACCAGAACAAGAACCCTAGCCTCACATAGAGAATGATATTCTGTAACCCCACCAAGAAAGTACAGTGGTACCTCGCATAACGATTGCCCCAAAAGACGAATATTTTGGGTAACGAACGGCCCGATCGGCGTCAAATCGTCCCTTATGACGAACGCTGGTTTGAGTAACGTCAACACCACATGGTGGGGTCGCGCTGCTTCTTGCACATTCTTAGACGCCTCCGACGATGCACATAAATTATGTTGTTCTTGTTTAAAGATGCTAATGATGCTGGGATATAAAAGGGTGACTACTGAGATGTTGCAAAGCATTGACGTTTTTGTAGGAAAAAAGAAATGAAATGTCTGATATACAACAAATGTCAAAAAGGTTCGTTCGGTGTTCGGCAGGTAGGCTGCTCCATTATAACAATCTTTCTTTGTTTCAAATGTGTTCCATTTGTTTTTTATTTGTCATTTGCGTCTCAATAATGGAGAAGCCTACCTTACATACACTGAATAAACCATTATGACATTTTCCTTTCTTCAAATGTGTTCAATATTTATTTTTCATTTGTCTTATAGCAAAAGGTTCGTTCGGTGGTCGGCAGGTAGGCTGCTCCATGTTTCTTACATACAAAAAACGTAAATAATAAAAAAAATGAAGAATTTTGAAAACCAGTACAAATGTCAAAAAGGTTCGTTCGGTGGTCTACAGGTCGGCTGCTCCATGTTTCTTAAAAAAAAAAAAACGAAAAATAAAAGAACTGTTGAAACAATTTGAAAAATGGACAAATGTCATAAAGGTTCGTTCAGTGTTTGTCGGGTAGGCTGCTCCATTATTGAGACGTAAGTGACAAATACAAAACAAATGGAACACATTTGAAACAAAGAAAGATTGTCATAATGGAGCAGCCTACCCAACAAAAACTGAACGAACCTTTTGCCATAACGAATATGAAAGACAAGGGCTGCTGGCTGGGTTAGTACTGCGTGAGCAACCATTTGTGGCACACATGCCTCTGGCTCTCAAACACCTGTCCCACACGGTGTTGAAAGACTGTGCTCAGTCGGTGCAATTCAGACCCTTTTGTTTGAAGAACATAAGGGTCATAACATTGGTGAAGCTAGGCGCAATAAGGGCTTAACACAACGGTCGGATGCCAGTGATACAGCACCTATGAGGATGATACAGCAAGCGTATCCAGGTGTAGCTCTGAGCCCCACCCTTGCCATCTCTAATGTATATAGATGATACATAGATGAATCGTTTTCTGCGTTCAGTGATGATGCATCTGATACAAGTAGCATAGATTAACAGTGTTAGCGGCTTCCATGGTGGTGGTGTTCATTGATATTTTCAAGAATACCTGAATCTTTTCCTGACTGATGGACACTCTTTGAGGCTAGCTGAATCTCTTCCTGACTGATGGACACTCTTTGAGGCTAGCTGAATCTCTTCCTGTGTGGGACCTTACAAAGCGATCTTTTCAAGACTACCTTACAAATTGAGCTTTTCCTATAATCGTTGCAATACTACTTTATGCTTTACAAGCTTGGCTACATACCACCTACAAGTACTAAAGCCAAGGGTGCACGCAAGTGCGTTATTTGCAAGCACACATAACGATGAAACAGGAAGCAAAAATCTATCTGTAGCTGGTGCAAGGAGAGCAAAGTCGCGCTGTGTACCATGGACTACTTCATTGACTATTATGCACCTCCAAAGTACTGAGTGTGTAATACAGTGTGTTACTGTGTAAATAGTATGTGAAACTGTACATATTGTAATATTAGTGAATTTTTACCACGTAATATTGTGACAATAAACATTTATTGTGGACACATTACTGACACATGTATCACAGTTTCATGGAAAATTATGAACATTCTACTGTATACATATTGTAAAGGTCACAAATATGCATCATATACGATAAATGAAACAAATAAAACCGCATTGGAAATGCATAGAAAAAATATTTGAAAATATATTTGTGGCAACACGCGGTGCTTGAATGGCCTGCGCGACCGTGTCTGGGAGCTTCACACACGGGCGACCAGGCCCTGATGACGTCACAGCCCACCTTGTCCATGCCCTCACAGCCAAAGTAAGTGGAATTTGGTAATTATTTTTACATAGACATGTTCAGGGACGGTAATTTATCATTTTACAAAGAAAAATTTTATTTTGGGGAACATTTGATGTCATGCACTCTGGGGAAATTTCACAATAAACACAGTGCATCACACTGGTTACATGGGGGGACACTCGTTTTGTATGACGTCCGTTTCACATGACGAACATGGAACGGATTAAATTCGTTATGCGAGGTACCACTGTATACAGAAAGTCAGCTAAGCATTACAGACAACTGTAAAGTTCACATAAAGTTAAGCCACAAGCCACGAAACAACTCCCTAAATGATTTAAAACAATGATTGCAATATTTGAAAATATCTTGAATCTGTTAATACCAGTAACCACCACCAGGTTGCCCAAAACCCAAGGGGCCACATTCACGAAGCAGTTACGAAAGTATTTAAGAACGTGTACACCTACACCTTTCCTCAATCTTTGACGGCTTTGGTTACATTTATTAAACAATTTACAAGCATGAAAACTTCCCAATCAACTGTTGTTATTGTTATAAACATCCTTATGGTGCTTCGGAGCTCATTAACTGTTTAATAATTGTAAACAAAGCCGCCAAAGATTGAGAAAAGATGTACAGGTTCGCAAGTGCTTGCGTAACCGTTTGCTTTGGTGGACGCTCTTTGGGTTGATCTGGTCTTCTTGGTTACCTGTTCCAAGATTTGTATCTCTCAGATTCTCCTCAGTGTCATCAAGGTTTTGGTGGGATTTTGGTGGACTAACAGTCATGGCAACCAGGTGTTTAGTCAATGTCCCTGGTCCTCTTCAGTCCTGTGTTGTCCTCGGTCATGTTTCCCGGCCGTTGACCTCTACTTTGACTTGGTGCCTGTTGCCTCTCCTCCTCTCTGGTAAGTTCCTCTATTTTTCTGCGTTTATTTAGCTACAGGGAGCCACCATTGGGTTGTCCCAGAAATCCAGTGTTGATTGTAATGAAATGCCTCTTCTGGTAGAGCCCCAGTGGCTTCCTGTCTCCCTCCCTCTCTCAGTTTGTCAGTTTGTTGTGTTGTATTATCTGCTTCAGAACCGAATTAATAGCCAACACTGAACCAAGATTCGGGCTGCATGGTGGCGGCACTCTGTACTATTGGGTTCTATTTTTTTTTTAATTGTTTGGGGAGTTGTTTGGTAGTTTTGTGGTGCTGAGTCATGTGAACTCAGTAGTAGTTTGTAAATCTTTGCTGACTTTCTGGATGGTTGCCCAGTGAAATGTCATTTGCTCTTTCTGCCTCATTTAAGGAAGCCAGGCTCTGGAACTGGTTCTAGATAGGCCAAACGAACTCATGCAACTGATGTGACAAGTAGAATGGAGCAATCTCAGCGAGCCACCGGGGTTCTACCAGAAAGAGGCGCTTTATTATGTTTAACACTGTTAATTTTTCCTCGTGATCGGGAACCAAATTTTAATATTATGAGAAAAAAATATTTTGGAAGTTTTCCTGCACAATGGGGAATGTGGGCTAAAAAACTGGCACAGCCCAGAGGTTAAAGAAAAGGGGGGAGTGACCTTTCACAAGCCACTGGCTTCCTATCCCCATCAAGGCCATTATAGATGGTGGCCCTCAGGTAAATAAAACTAAAAAATAAAACTTTATGAAGGCAAATTATTTAACTAAATAAAGTTTAAAACTGGATTTGATTTATGCTTCAAAGAGAACGTGGAATGGTATTTTATATGCGTATTATGAAGCATTCTTTTAAAGGCAGTCCGAGATGGAAGATAATACACTTGGATCATGGTAAGCTACAAACCCACCTTCGTTGCACCACATTAAACTATGCCGAGTTGTATTATCATTTGGTTTGTGATACCTGATTTGTACTTCATTCAAACAGTCAACTGCAATTTTCTGAAAAACACAATCTTGCATTACACATTGTACACCATGACTTAAAATATTTTATGTACTCTTAGTATTATTAAACCAAGGTACTCTATTCCATCCTCAACCAGCTTTCTGGTAATATAATAGGGTAGTCAGTCATTTAGTTAACAATTCAATAAGTGCCAAGTTATTTATTTGGTATGAAAAGCTGTAGGATGTGGTGACCAAACTGCCCATCAGCACGTGGTAGACTCAGCCTGGAATCCATTACAGTAGTATATACATTATAGGGGTGGGGGTGGCTTGTGATTTATTTATCCAAAATATCTTTTCTGGGGGGAGCCCCGTCGGCTCCCCGGAGCTTTACCAGGCTGATATGCTAATGTCAGACTTTGGCATCAGTCATGTGTATGTTCTAGGGCCTACTGGGGACCATGGCCAGAACGTGGCCCCCTCAGAGAGGCAAGGGGAGCAATGGCCTATAGAAACCCCCGTGTGGTTGGAAGCATTCTATGTCTGCCATCGACCGGGTCAAGCATCCAGAAAGGTAAGCATTCCAAAACAAACCCCTATTCTGGTTAAAATTGTTACCATTCCGGGGAGCCCCAGACCTCCCACGCCGGCTATCCACCCATCAGTTCTTCGGCTGATGCTACAGGCACCGGTTGTGTGCTCCGGCTCCAGTAGTTCTTTCAGCACTGTATCTAGAGTGTGGTGTCTGTCTTCTAGGTGGTGCGTGAGCCGGGAGTGAGTCTCCAGTACTCGGGCTGCATGCGCCTAGGGTTCCCTTCCCTAGGTGCCCTGTAAGTACTGTCCTTGGGGCTTGGGGCCACCTCCCACAAGTTCCTTGGGTTCTGCCCTGCTAGGCCGTTTACTGCTTGGTTTTCGGCCGCTCTTTGTGTGCTCGGGTGTTCTGTCTCTCTTGTTCGCCTTAGGGTAAGGGGCAGTTTAGCACTGGTGGGGCGCAGGGTACTGTGCAGCGTGTCTGCCAGTTGGATAGCTGGCGAGGAGGGTCTGGGGCTTCTCCTTCCCTCCCCCCCTCTGGGGAGGGGAGGGGGGTGCGCAGACGGGGAAGGGGGGGGGGGGGTTGCGCAGACGGCGGCGCGGCGATGTGATGACGTCATGTTAGTTTGCTATTTCTGTTTGGGGAGTTTTGTCCACTCATTCGGCTTTTGGTAGCAATCTTTTCACCTGAATAGGGGTTTGTTTTGGGGTGCCTGTCCTGGACCGATGGCAGACATAGAATGCTCCCAACCAGGGGGGGGGGGGGTTCTATAGGCCATTGCTCCTCGTGCCTCTCTGAGGGGGCCAAGTTCTGGCTCGTGCTCCCTGGTAGGCAAGAACTCCATGCACCTTGACTGATGCCAGAAAGTTGTACATATCCATTCAGCCTGGATAGCTCCGGGGAGCCTCCGGGACTCACCCAGAAAATGGTGTTTCATTATATTCAACGCTTGGTTTTTTGTTTAGCTTCAGGACTTGTGGGAAAAGCTATGCATGTTAGAGACTTTGTAAGAATGAACCACTTAAATCACCAATGTATGTATAAATAAATAAATGATTTTCTTTTGCTAGTGCAGTATATACAATAAACTTAATCTGACTGATTATTCTTATAAGTAACCTCAAGTTATATATACAATATATAAACCTCAAACACAATATTTACCTTTTCTCTTGGAAGCTGACCAATTTTCTGATAGATTATTATACCACCTCCCTGCGCAACCAGTAGTCCATGAGGAGCTGCTGTGTCCCAACGGAATGTTGATCCCTAAAGGGAAAAACACAGTTGAAAGATGAGCCTTTATTTAATGATCATGACTTCGTATGTTCTGTAACAAGGTTTGTTAAAGTTTTAACCACACAAAACATTGTTGAATAGTAAAAGCTTGTCTTTGATTTTTTTACATAGTGGTTTTATTTATATAAATGAATTATAAATGAACTATATACTAAGGGGGGGGGGATGTAACCAGAATTGTTTGGGTCTGTCTGTCTTCCAGCTGTCTATCCATCCATCTAACTATTTATCTATCCATCCATCCATCTCTCTCTCCATCTATCTATCCATCCATATATCCCTCTATCTATCCATCTGTGCATACATCTATCCATCCATTTGTACATCCACCTATCTTTCTTAATATTTAGCCATCTATGTACTATCAGAGCTCACTTATCTAGACTATATGGGAAGGACCCCCCCCCCACCCCACCAGACAAGCCAGACATCCAGATAAGAAGAATTCCTCTGGAAAGAGTAAACAAAAATAACATATTTGCAATTGTTTGTCCCACATCCATCATAATTTTAATTTCCACACACATACAGTACAGTACTATAATTAAACAATATACCAGTACTGTAATTTAAAACAGAAACTTCAGCTTACCGTGTTGTAGTTTATGTTTTTGATCAATATTGTACATCTTGAAATCAATAGTTCTTGAAAATTTATGTAACCTAACACAACACTACTGTACAGTACATGAGCTTGGCAAGGTTAGTTTGACCTGCCAGCTGCTGAAGCATCACTGGTTGAGGCTCTTGGCTTTCTGGTGAGGCTTCACTTTTATTCTTCACAACATTGTGCCTCGCTTTAAACCTGGAAATACAACTGCCACTTGCCCTGAAATCAGGTATTCCATGGCTGGCTGCAAACCTGCTTCCAGCATTTCTTATTTCTGCACCGCAAATTGTCACACACGCTTTGCGGTGCTTTGCAACCCACTTACCGTATACACAGTCTCATCCAGCTGAGCATAGTGTGCAGACTTCAAAGTTTTCTATTAAACCTTCAACTAGAACAAGCTCCCTCACTTTCACTAGTAACTATGTATTTCATGTATTCTTCTTTATGTTTCCTTATATCAGAGACAGTACTAGTGCCTATACCAAAATCCTTGGCAACACTTACAGCCAGCCAGCCAGCCACACAGAATTAATGAAATGTAACTTATCTTTAATGGCACAACCTTCTTCCTCTTTACACCTCCATGATGACCTGCTGCTACCGAATATAGTCTTGGCAACAAATTATCAGTTACAATGTAAATAAAAATGAGAATTAAGAAAATTTGTCACTAATGGCATGGCACTGCGGTATAATAATTCACTGTGTCGGGGGACAGGAAGCCAGATTGTATTCATACATGTTTAACAGAGGCCCCCCCCCCCAGGCCGAATTACAGACCCCGCCCAGGATGTAACCCCACAACAAGTTGACTAACTCCTGAGTACCTACCCACTGCTAGGTGAACAGGGACATTAGGTGAAAGGAAACATGCACAATCACTTCTGTCCCACCCAAGATAATGTGAAAGGAGAGAGCACAGGGCTTGTTTAGGTTGGCAGGTCTAGTTGGGGAAAGTTTTGAAGACCACCAAATGAAAAATAAATCCTCTAATTTTAGCAGAGTACTCGTACTACACTCTTCAGCTTGTACACAATTTTTTTTTAAATATGTATTTGTTATAATATTAGATAACATTTGTTTAGTTTTTAGAGTAATGAAGTGTTTAAACATAATTCTTGGTTACCCTATACAATACAGTAATCATAGGTCTCTCATTCCCCAGACTGTCCCTCCTGACTCTCCTGACACCCCCATACCCTCACCCCAACACCTTCCATACTCCGCACCTCAAACCACTGCTCTACAAGATTAATATGGCATGGCCCAATGCCTGTCTGTTGTATCCAGGAAAATCTCCGGTTTCCAGATTTGTCTGCATATGGTGAAATTTGGGTAGAAAGTTACCCCGGACTCGATTTAGAATATATGCCAGTACTGTATGCACTATCCAATCTTAGTTATTGCCAGGAAAAAACTGGAAATTGCCTAAGAAAATGACCAAGTAGTTTAAGATCAAAAATAAAATTTGAAAATTCCAATGAAATCTTGTGGTCTATGTCATCACAGCTCAAAGTTGCCATTGACACCTAAAATTGGTACCAAACCTTTCAGATTTCAGAGCAATTTGTTAACACAGTTATGGCAATTTTAATATAGTAATTTGAAATTGCTGCTGTTTTTAGGAGCTTAAGATTAATTTACATGGATTACTGATGCTGCACTGTACAGGATTACATTTTATGTTCTAATAACTTTCTTTACCTTATCTCTTATATACAGTGCATTATTAGTTAAGATACACACAGCCAACAACAGCTTTTCTTCTTTGCAATTCTCTCGAAACATTGATGCATTTTAAAACCTAATTAAAAGGTTTCACTTCTTTTTTTGAGAATATATATAGAGCCAGAACAGGGGTCTCAAGTAAATCTTCAATAAATACACTTGGATTATTGCATCCAGTCATGGAACCCATCTTCAGAAAAAGACCGCTTCATTGGAGAAAGTTCAACACCGGGCAACAAAAATAATTCCAGAACTAAGCCAACTCTCATATATATGTACATGTATATATAACATTAACAATTGTGTAACTGGCTTCAAAAGATTGTCACTTGCATAGTTAAACGAACAATGTGGTTCAGTTCCTGAACCCATTATGTGCCTCTGTAACCCTTTCTACCACTGCCTATGGGATAGGTATGGGGGTGCATAATAAAGAAAGAAATTGAATTCATACCATAACAGGTTGAGGGCCACAGGGCTAACAACACTGCATACCAGACACAACAAGGCTGATCTCCCCTAATCGTTCAAAATACTGAACAATTTGGAAAATGTCGATCCAGACAACTTCTTCAAAAGGTCAGATGTAACGCAAACAAGGAGTAACTATTTGAAGCTCAACAAGCCACAGTGTGGGACTGAAAACAGGAGATGCTTTTTCACTCACAGGGTTATAAAGCCATGGAATTGCCTACCCACCAAAGCCATAAATGCCAAAACTCTGCTGAACTTTAAACTCCAGCTTGAAAAAATCATTAGGACAAATGGGAGGGACCTATGTCAAGTTGCCAGCTTCCTGTCCTCATTGAGGCCACTAGTGTGTTAGTGGCCCTCAGGTAAACTATGTGGAATACAGATAATTGTGTTCGCCCAAAACTTTAAACTCAATATATTGCACAATCATTGTCTTCCTGAAACTGTGCATAATTAAATGTATGTATAATTATTTGCTTTAAAAAACATACAAATATTATTATGTACTGTACTAAGTAACCACTGAAATCGGATCCACTGTACTTTTATCAATAAAATATTATTACTATTATTATTCTTTCTCTTAATGCATAATGACATTTTAAGTAATTGCAGTGGTCAGCACAGTTGGCTCATCATTGAATGGTTCTGAGTTTTATTCCTACACAGAACAAAATTACATTGGGCACATTTCTTTACACTTGAAGCATCTGTTTACCTAGTAGTAAATAAATACTGATGAGCTAACCAACTGTTGTGTGACACAGCTGGAAAAGTTCAGTTGGTAGCGTAGGATGACCTTACACCTGATTTCAACGTTCACTTGGGAGTTAGGAGATTGTTGTGGGTTGCATCTTCGGAAAGGTCAGTCATTGACTTAATAGGACTTCTAACTCAAAACAGCCTTCATGTCCCTGACAATAGGTGACAATAGGAACCGTAAAAAAATAGAGAAATGGAATTTCCTTACACACTTATCACCTATCTCTCAGACATTCTACTAACATCTCCATACAATTTTCCACTCCTTATTCCCTCCTGAAATTTCCTTGCCTTTGAGGATACACATGCAGATGCATGTCCAAGGGCTACTGCCAGAAGCTTGTAACCAGCACCGGTGGCATGTACTACACTGAATTTATTCTTGAACTTTTCTTGCAACTTGACATCTTCGCTAGAAGACACGAGAAGTATAGGTCGTCCATCTCGATGACTGGATGTCTTGAGTGGCACATTATGGATGCTAACACTGCCGTAGCTCACACCCCAGTATACCTCTCCCTGCCAACTACAATCATAATGTTTGGGTAAATAAATAATTCCTTGTACTGTATATGTATCAGTAGATATAAGCTATAATAATTGCAATAAACTTTACAATTAAAACTTGTGCCATTTACCTCTGGTTCTCTTCATTAAACACAGCAAATGGTTGATTGATGATGCCCCCAAGAGGTAAGCCAGACAAACGGTCATACAAGCCAATAAGAACTGTAACACACTGAAGCCCATGGGTATATATACCATTACAACTTGTTCCAATTTCACCTTTTACATACTCTCCAGTAGAATCTGAAAACAAATTTAAGAGTGGATAGAATATAAATGATAATTGTTGACTAGACCACACACTAGACGGTGAAAAGACGACGACGTTTCGGTCCGTCCTGGACCATTCTCAAGTCGATTGACTTGAGAATAGAAAATGGAATTGAAATGGAATGGAGAATAGAGAATGAAATGGATCGATCTGAGAATGGTCCAGGATGGACCAAAACGTCGTAGTCCCTTCACCTTCTAGTGTGTGGTTTGGTCAATATACTTTAGCCACGTTATTGTGACTCATCGCCTGCATAAATGATAATTATTAACAGATTGAGCTAAACGATGTCAAAGTTGATACGGGCATCTAATCTGATGATAACTAAATGAAAATGGATTGAGAATGCAAAATTTAATTCAGCAGCTGGAGAGGGGCGTCAGATGTATCCGGCAGCCACCTGCTATGGTGGGGGTAACTGTCCAAATGTTAGGATTCAGGATAGATGATTTTATATATCATTTAACGAGCAATCAAAGAAAACACAGCAGTGTGTATTTTAATAGGGGTGAGGAGCGAGAGATATGAAATGTGGGGTTGTGAAGCTGATTAAGAACATTACATTGAAGTTGTATGAAGGTGTTAGTAGAATGCCTGAGAGATATGTGATAAGTTTGTCAGCTTATGTCTGCATTAATGCAATAAATTCAAGTGTTCAACTATATTAATTTGTTCGTAATTAACTCTTAGAATTTCTCTAAAACTAAGGTGGTAATAAATTTAAAGATACTAATTATGCAAATTATTAGATAAAATTTTAACAAATTAATTAACTCACCAATTGGATCAATCCATATACCTAAATTTTCTATTGGTAAATTAGGTATTTGTTTTAATAATTCTGGTTCTGAGCTTCGGTTAATATCAGAGTGAACAACATCTGCCAAAATATCTGCTGCTTCCTGATTACCATCCAAAACCTGGAAAAATAGTTCTTTGAATTCACAATAACAGTGCTCATTTCAGTCACCAATTCATTATTATCAAATATCCTCCTATTTTTCTGTGACAAAGTCATGACTACTTCAGCATGGCACAGCTATAACTAAACAATTTGGAAGAATTTATCTGAAAACATTTACCATATTACTGTATAGCAATACATTGCAACCTCTAAAAACTGGGCCTCCAAATAATGAAAACCTCCAAATGTTTGAAGGATTTTGCTAATGGAACTGTCCTCTCTGGAAGAGATTTTTCTACAAATAACTGCAGGCGGGGTGTTGTGGGGTAACATATCACTGCAGCATGGCTCTGTTGATGGCTAATCAAAAATGAGCTTTGTTTCTGGGAGTTAAACTTGACTAATTGAGTTATTAATAACTAATGAGTTAGTTATGACTAATTGTTATATTGATGGCATCAGCTGACTGCTTCTCTTGTTGCTTTTGTTGCAATGCTTAAATTGTCATTAAACTGGTAGCAGGTATTTTCTATAAAAAAGAAGCATTTTCTATTCAGCTACATATATTGATCAGATGTTGGCAAAATATTTGATAGATTGAAGATATTTAGCAAGAGCTTTAACTATGTGCTGTTTTGTGTATGAGAACTATTATTGCCTATTTAGTAATAAATATTATTGAGAAACAGGTATTACAAAAAACTTTATGCAGAGATGGACCCCTCAGTGGCTCCAAGCAGTGTACTGTAATAGCACCCCAGGGCCATCCCCATAATGCCAAACTTCCATGACAATCTTGGCGTGCTAAGAGCAAGTGCAGTAGATACAGTACCAATATGTATCATGCTCTGTTAAAGGAGCGGGGAAGTAAATGGGGATCAATGATCAACCCCCATACTAAGGTAAATTCCCAAATACAGTAGCTGATAAACATCACAAAATTAATTTTTTTTTATTTTTAAAACAAATTTTAAAAATTAAAAATTCTTTTCTCTAAGAGAAAAGATTAGGAGGAAAACTATGAAACTAGAAGCCAAATGAAGGAAATAACTCATTTCCCAATTCTCCCTGTTCACAGCCCAGGTGACACACATCTAAGACAGCCTCACTCCTGCCTAGCACTTACCCTTGTAACAAACACAGTAAACCTTTGTGGACACCAAAGGAATATAATATACAAGTGGCTAGCTTTCCATTGCACTTAGTCCAGCTTATAAGTCGAGCTTTTTTCATTTTTATATAAGAATGCTTCATAAGCATGTATTCACAAGCTAGTCCCCCTCTAGTGTGTCTTGCTTCCTCATTCACTTTGGGTCTAGTAAACAACCAGAGGTTTAGCAATTTTTTTCTGAAGTTTTGAAATTTTCCTTTGAGGTCACTCCTATCAAGTTGTCCCTGGTTTACATAATGCTTTGAGATTTATTTACCGATTCGAGACCTGCGAGATACAGTAAGTAGTTAGCAATGTGAGTTGAGCTTGGTTTACGCTCATGTGGGAGTTGGAGCCTTGCAACTTTAGCTGGATTTTGGTTAGAGTTGCATTAAGTGATCATTCCATTTTCTGTGACTTTACACACACACACTTCGCAAACAGAGTGGTAGACGGTTGGAACAAGTTAAGTGAGAAGGTGGTGGAGGCCAAAACCATCAGTAGTTTCAAAGTGTTATTTGACAAAGAGTGCTGGGGAGACGGGACACCACGAGCGTAGTTCTCATCCTGTTACTACACTTAGGTAATTACACTCACTGCTACACAAGATGGAGGTTTGGTGTTTGGCAGCTGTAGATGCATATTATATCACTTGGCAGTTTGGTTCATTTACTCACCTGGACTGCAGAGTACAGTATTGTACAGCTTTTGTAGATTTTTATGTAAGCAAGACAAATTATGAAATTAATAATGAGTCAATCCTTATATTTACCTTTGCAAGAAGTGTAGCAGTTTCTTGTTGTGTATCACAGATTTGCACAATAATTTTTTCTCCAAGAGTATTTGTAAACTCGGCACTTTCCTCCCCATGAACGTGGTCACCAAGGCTAGGAATCTGAAAGATGACACACTGTCAAACAAACTTTTAATATAATACTAAACAAAATATGTGTAGCTTGTGCCTTTCCCCATCCACCCCCAGAGAAAGGAAGGAGAATGATCAGGAAAGAAAGCCAAGCCATTACGACTTATAGCACTTGGAAGGTGTCAGGATAAGGATTTGGGATGGGACGGGGGGAAGGAATGGTGCCCAACCCCTTGGACGGTCGGGGATTGAATGCTGACCTGCATGAAGTGAGACCGTCGCTCTACTGTCCAGCCCAGGGAAAGGAGTAGCTCTGAGATAATAAGCTATTTTATTTTGTGAAGAGTAAGCAATAGAGCATTTTGTGTATGGTGTACAGTACATAAAACAATATTCTGAGGGAACTAAACTAACTAATTATCATAAGAAAGAACAAAGACAGGATGGCTGTATAGCACTATCATGAGTGACTGCATTTCCTCACACTGATGTGTATTCTTGATGTTTCCTACACACTTCATCACCACAAGTCTGCTACAGATACATAAAGAAATCACACTAACGTGATATACATCAATGAGGAGCATTGAGCAATCATCTGGAGCTATAAAGTGACTTGAACCAGCTGCACACTGTACCCCTCTACCATAACATAGTCCAAGTTATACAATCTGGGATTCCATTGAATCCACGGGAAGTTTGAAGACTTCTAATAAGCCAAGTTTACCTGAATTTCAATATTTTTCTAATTTTTTTCTTATGAAATGATAAAGTTATACATTTCATTATGTATGAGTTAATTTTTTAAAATTTGAGTTAAAAGTAACATAGATATATGATTGAACCTAACCAACCCTACCTAACCTAACCTAACCTATCTTAACCTAACTTATCTTAACCTAACATAACTAAATAAATAATTTATGTTCATAATATAATATAAGAATAATATTTAAAATAAACCAATTGGAAACAATTTATTGAGAATAAAGAAAATCACTCAGCCTATTAGGCAAATCGGGCATTGCATAGTAGGCCGAGAAGTGCGTTCTGACTACCAGGTACGACATACATACATATAAATAAATAAATAAATATATATATATATATGTCGTACCTAGTAGCCAGAACGCACTTCTCAGCCTACTATTCAAGGCCCGATTTGCCTAATAAGCCAAGTTTTTATGAAATAATGTTTTTTCGACGACCTAACCTACCTAACCTAACCTACCCTAACTTTTTCGGCTACCTAACCTAACCTAACCTATAAAGATAGGTTAGGTTAGGTTAGGTAGGGTTGGTTAGGTTCGGTCATATATCTACGTTAATTTTGACTAAAATAAAAAAAAATTGACCTCATACATAATGAAATGGGTAGCTTTATCATTTCATAAGAAAAAAAATTGAGAAAATATATTAATTCAGGAAAACTTGGCTTATTAGGCAAATCAGGCCTTGCATAGTAGGCTGAGAAGTGCGTTCTGGCTACTAGGTACGACATATATATATATATATATATATATATATATATATGTCGTACCTAGTAGCCAGAACGCACTTCTCAGCCTACTATGCAAGGCCCAATTTGCCTAATAAGCCAAGTTTTCATGAATTATTTGTTTTTCGACTACCTAACCTACCTAACCTAACCTAACCTAACTTTTTCGGCTACCTAACCGAACCTAACCTATAGAGATAGGTTAGGTTAGGTTAGGTAGGGTTGGTTAGGTTCGGTCATATATCTACGTTAATTTTAACTCCAATGAAAAAAAATTTACCTCATACATAATGAAATGAGTAGCTTTATCATTTCATAAGAAAAAAATAGAGAAAATATAATAATTCAGGAAAACTTGGCTTATTAGGCAAATCGGGCTTTGCATAGTAGGCCGAAAAGTGCATTCTGGCTACTAGGTACGACATATATATATATATATATATATATATATATATATATATATATATATATATATGTCGTACCTAGTAGCCAGAACGCACTTCTCAGCCTACTATGCAAGGCCTGATTTGCCTAATAAGCCAAGTTTTCCTGAATTAATATATTTTCTCAATTTTTTTTCTTATGAAATGATAAAGCTACCCATTTCATTATGTATGAGGTCAATTTTTTTTTATTTTAGTCAAAATTAACGTAGATATATGACCGAACCTAACCAACCCTACCTAACCTAACCTAACCTATCTTTATAGGTTAGGTTTGGTTAGGTAGCGGAAAAAGTTAGGTTAGGTTAGGTTAGGTAGGTTAGGTAGTCGAAAAACAATTAATTCATGAAAACTTGGCTTATTAGGCAAATCGGGCCTTGCATAGTAGGCTGAGAAGTGCGTTCTGGCTACTAGGTACGACATATATATATATATATATATATATATATATATATATATATATATATATATATATATATATATATATATATATATATATATATATATATATATATATATATATATATATATGTCGTACCTAGTAGCCAGAACGCACTTCTCAGCCTACTATGCAAGGCCCGATTTGCCTAATAAGCCAAGTTTTCATGAATTAATTGTTTTTCGACTACCTAACCTACCTAACCTAACCTAACCTAACTTTTTCCGCTACCTAACCAAACCTAACCTATAAAGATAGGTTAGGTTAGGTTAGGTAGGGTTGGTTAGGTTCGGTCATATATCTACGTTAATTTTAACTCCAATAAAAAAAAATTGACCTCATACATAACGAAATGGGTAGCTTTATCATTTCATAAGAAAAAAATTAGAAAAAATATATTAATTCAGGAAAACTTGGCTTATAAGGCAAATCGGGCCTTGAATAGTAGGCCAAAAAGTGAGTTCTGGCTACTAGGTACGACATATATATATATATATATATATATATATATATATATATATATATATATATATATATATATATATATATATATATATATATATATATAACTAAATAACTATATATATATGTCGTACCTAGTAGCCAGAACGCACTTCACTTCTCAGCCTACTATTCAAGGCCCGTTTTGCCTAATAAGCCAAGTTTTCATGAATTAATTGTTTTTCGACTACCTAACCTAACCTAACCTAACTTTTTCGGCTACCTAACCAAACCTAACCTATAAAGATAGGTTAGGTTAGGTTAGGTAGGGTTGGTTAGGTTCGGTCATATATCTACGTTAATTTTAACTCCAATAAAAAAAAATTGACCTCATACATAATGAAATGGGTAGCTTTATCATTTCATAAGAAAGAAAATAGAAAAAATTTATTAATTCAGGAAAACTTGGCTTATTAGGCAAATCGGACCTTGCATAGTAGGCCAAAAAGTGAGTTCTGGCTACTAGGTACGACATATATATATATATATATATATGTCGTACCTAGTAGCCAGAACTCACTTCTCAGCCTACTATTCAAGGCCCGATTTGCCTAATAAGCCAAGTTTTCCTGAATTAATATATTTACTATAATTTTTTTCTTATGAAATGATAAAGCAACCCTTTTCTCTATGTATGAGGTCAATTTTTTTTTATTGGAGTTAAAATTAACGTAGATATATGACCGAACCTAACCAACCCTACCTAACCTAACCTAACCTATATTTATAGGTAAGGTTAGGTTAGGTAGCCAAAAAAAGCTAGGTTAGGTTAGGTTAGGTAGGTTAGGTAGACGAAAAAACATTAATTCATGAAAACTTGGCTTATTAGGTAAATCGGGCCTTGAATAGTAGGCTGAGAAGTGCGTTCTGGCTATTAGGTACGACATATATATATATAATATATATATATATATATATATATATATATATATATATATATATATATGTCATACCTAGCAGCCAGAACGCACTTCTCAGCCTACTATGCAAGGCCCAATTTGACTAATAAGCCAAGTTTTCATAAATTAATTGTTTTTCGACAACCTAACCTACCTAACCTAACATTTTCGGCTACCTAACCTAACCTAACATTTTTGGCTACCTAACCTAACCTATAAAGATAGGTTAGGTTAGGTAGGGTTGGTTAGGTTCGGTCATATACCTGCATTAATTTTAACTCCAATAAAAAAAAATTGACCTTATACATAATGAAATGGGTAGCTTTATCATTTCATAAGAAAAAAATTAGAGAAAATATATTAATTCAGGAAAACTTGGCTTATTAGGCAAATCAGGCCTTGCATAGTAGGCCGAGAAGTACGTTCTGGCTACTAGGTACGACATATATATATACATATGTATATATATATATATATATATATATATATATATATATATATATATATATATATATATATATATATATATATATATATATATATATATATATATATGTCGTACCTAGTAGCCAGAACTCACTTCTCAGCCTACTATTCAAGGCCCGATTTGCCTAATAAGCCAAGTTACAGTCTCCGTGGTGTAGTGGTAAGACACTCGCCTGGCGTTCCGCGAGCGCTATGTCATGGGTTCGTATCCTGGCCGGGGAGGATTTACTGTGCGCAATTCCTTAACTGTAGCCTCTGTTTAACGCAACAGTAAAATGTGTACTTGGATGAAAAAACGATTCTTCGCGCCAGGGGATCGTATTCCAGGGACCTGCCCGAAACGCTACGCGTACTAGTGGCTGTACAAGAATGTAACAACTCTTGTATATATCTCAAAAAAAAAAAAAAAAAAAAAAAAGTTTTCATGAATTAATTTATTTACTATAATTTTTTTCTTATGAAATGATAAAGCTACCCTTTTCACTATGTATGAGGTCAATTTTTTTTTATTGGAGTTAAAATTAACGTAGATATATGACCGAACCTAACCAACCCTACCTAACCTAACCTAACCTATAGATATAGGTAAGGTTAGGTTAGGTAGCCAAAAAAAGCTAGGTTAGGTTAGGTTAGGTAGGTTAGGTAGACGAAAAAACATTAATTCATGAAAACTTGGCTTATTAGGCAAATCGGGCCTTGCATAGTAGGCTGAGAAGTGAGTTCTGGCTACTAGGTACGACATATATATATATATATACTGTATATATATCTATCTATCATGATATTTTTTACCTACATATAATGTGATATGTTTTACACATATTTCAGGTTAGTGTGATTTCTTTGTGTATGTGAAGCTGGAACATACAGTTGAAGAGCTACAAGGAAATCGGAGAACTACCAAAGCTAATGTTTTCAGCAGTCCATTAGACCATAGGGCCTGCACAGGGATGAAAAGGGGTACAGAAGTTTTCACCATGTTCACATACTCATCATATCCAGGAACATACTATACATGTGGAGCACATTATTAATCACAAATTGCAATTACACCACTGAGATCGCTTGGTAGAAGTGGCAGCAGGTCTTGTCAGTGGTGATATCATTTATTTAGAGTAGAGGGCCTATAGTGCCATTTTTGGGAGATACAAGGAGGTACTGCAGGTTGTAAAGGTACAGACATTGGTGATTAAATAGTACATGCTTGCAAAACCACTAACACTCATAGTGTTTGTCTTTAATAAGAAAACAGTAGAGGCCCACTGGACAGCAAAACAAAAATTTCTGTGGATCAAATCAAGGTATTTAACTAGATCTGGCTTTGAGATTACACAACCATCACAGGGACAAGTCAGGAAAATGAAATTTCAAGTAGTACTTGGATATATTTTGAATTTTTATGAATAAACTTTAAGTACACAGTTACACTGATATGGATTGAACTTTTCTTCAGGACCTCAATAGCACTAGACCTGAACCGATTATGTGCCTCTGTAACCCTTTTCACCACCGCCCATGGGATGGGTATGGTGTGCATAATAAACAAAAGTATTGCATATTGAAAATGATAAAGGGAAATATATAACCATGAATGTCAACAAAAGATTAAAAACAACTAGATATTTTCTGACTAGTCTATGGTACATGGATAATTTGATAGATTTAAATATAAACTTATGTAACAAACCACATGAATAAGATGGTGTCTGAGGGCTTCTTGAATTAACACATCTGCTAAAGTTTTGAAGTCATGATCAAATCGCTGATTTTTCTCAGCTTCACCCTTTTCTTCAACAAGCAGAGCAAATAGCTTAGGCTCCTGGCGAATAGATCGGGCAATTTCTCCAGCACGTTCAGAGAAATCCAGTAAAATCTTTATCAATTCAGCCATTGCAATAAATGCTCGTAAACCTGCCAAAGATACAAGTCATTAATAACATGTTAATATAATATGCATCTTAAGGAATGGAAACAGTAATAAGCTAAGTACAGTATAGTGTATGTGTATACTGGGTACTCCCATATATACTGTATATATATATATATATATATACTCTTGTAAACTCAAAGGAAAATGGAAAAGAGCCTAACCATACTTTCAAGACATCTTCAAGACTCATAAGCTTGCAGGTATAAAGATAAGTGTAAAGGAAGGTCTTGGTAGGCACCTGCAGGTGCCACTGGGTCAACAGGACAATAATGGATATGCAAGCATGCATCTGTAATCATCAATAGCCTGACTGATCAAACAATCAAGGAAGCCTTGTCTTAGTGCAGAGTGAAAAGGTAGAAAATCTCTTAAAGTAAATTTATTTTTATTTTTTAAACATTCTACTATAAAGTCAATGTCTTATACTGTACTGTACATTAAATGTGAGAAACTGCTGTAATAAAAGCATTGTGTCCCAACTTGAAGAACGAGTACACTGTTCATGGTCAGGTGAACTGGAGCCATGGAAGTAGCAGAAAAGTACAAAATATAGAATGAACAAATCCACAAGGGCCGTGATGAGGTTTTTGAACTTACGCCCGGGATGATCCCAAACGCTGCCTTAGTCAACTAGGCCACGACATGGTAAAAGAATTGCAACTGGGAATTCCCGGTTGTGTGAAGTCAGTAGAATTCCCGGTTGTGTGAAGTCAGTGGATGTCCCAGTTGTGTGAAGTCAGTGTAATTCCCGGTTGCAATTGTACTGCAATTGAAAGTGGAAGATTCGGACATTTTCTTTATGAATGATACTCAAACACCTGTAAATAAAACTGATATCAACACGAGCGTGGCAGATGTTGAAAGAGAAATTGACACTATGCCCATGCACTCAGCCCCGGGTCCAGACTCATGGAATTCAATATTTATAAAGAAATGCAAAGTGCCAGTAGCACAGGCACTCAGTATAGTGTGGAGGAAGAGCTTGGACACAGGGGAGATACCAGATGCGCTTAAAGCAGCAGACATTGCCCCTCTACACAAGGGTGGTAGCAAAGCATTGGCAAAGAATTATAGACCAGTTGCACTAACGTTCCACATAATAAAAGTAGTTAAGAGAGTGATCAGGAGTCAGGTCACTGGCGTGGAAAGTGAAGTGTGGTGACTTTGAAGAAATAAAAAGAAAATAGACTCGTATGGTGAACAACTCCAAGCGAGCCTAAGAGCTAACATAGAGTTAGGCAAGGATCTCCAACTGGAAACTTCACTGACAACTCACATAGAGGAGGGGAATAAAGAACTAGAAAAGTATAAAGAAGAAATAAAAGCGACATTTGCTCAAGTTGTAAAAGAGAAAGAGACTATCAAAGAAGTGTGTTCGGAAGTCAAAACCAAAAATGACCAACAAGAAGCAGAAATTAGGCAAGCAATTAGGAAAGAACTGGTTACCAACAGTAAACTAGTACAAAACACTGCAGATAGAACTAAGTACATAATCATTTTTGGATGTTTAGAGAAAGAAATTTCTTCTAGGGTGGACCGAGCGGCAGAAGAGATGAAAATCATAGAGAAAATAGTAGGTTAAGGAGAAGGCTCCAAGGAAAATGTTTGTGATTTTAGAAGAATAGGAAAATATGAGAAAGACAAGAACCGCCCCTTAAGGGTGACGTTTAATGGAGTGAAAAACATGATGGAAGGGCTAAGAAATGCCAGGAAATTACAGAGTGATGAGGTTGGAAAACTTTGGTCAATAAGACAAGACCTCTCCAAGGAAGACAGAGAAAAGCTGAAAATGAACGTAATTGCGGCAAAATGTCTAAATGGAGATAGAAATGAAGACAGAAATTCTTTTTTCTACAAAGTGACAGGGACTGGAAAGCTTGTGAAATGGTACATAAAAATAAAGCAACAAGATCAGTAGTGGAAGGGGAAGTAAAGAGCAAAGGAAAAGGGAACATGTTCCTGAAAATTGTATATACCAACATAGATGGAGTGAGGTCAAAAACTTTGGAGTTGCAAGATATAATCCAGCTTAGGGTCCCAGATATTGTCGCATTATCAGAGACAAAACTTGAAGGAAATATAATAAATGAAGTCATATTCCCAAGAGGCTATTCAGTTTGGAGACGTGACAGGAAAACCCTAGGAAGGGAGGAGGAGTGGCTGTACTGGTGAAAGAACACCTGAAGGTAAGAGAATTAATATTTGAAAACCCTCGAGATATTGACATAATGACATTGCAGATCTGGAATCAGGATGATAAGCTGATAATTTTACATGCCTACATCCCACCAGCAAGCAACACATGGACAAAGGAAGAACTGAATGACAAACGAGAGGGCCTCATAATTGTCATGAGAGATATTATTGTACAAGCAGATAAAGATAAATCACAGCTATTGATACTGGGGGACTTCAACTTTAAAGCAATAGACTGGGAGGCCTATGAAGCAAGAACGGAGGACTTTTGGACATGCAGATTTGTGAACCTCATTCTGGAGACATTCTTGTATCAACACATAAAGCAGGCCACAAGAATGAGGGAAGGAGATGTACCGTCAGTACTGGATCTAGTATTCACCAGGAAAGAAGAAGAGATACTGTATTTGACATCCAGTACCTTCCTCCTTTGGGAAAGAGTGATCACGTCCTGTTAGATATTGATTACGCTTTAAGATAAGTGGCCAAGGAGAAGGAAAAAATTGAAGAAGCAGTAAAGAAAGCCAAACACTGCAGCAACCAAGATAAAACAAACATTAGGCTGGAAGTGAGAAAAGAATTGGCATCTAACCCGAAGTTGGTGCAAAACACAGTTGATCGGAGCAAGTCCCTGATCATTTTTGGCTGCAAAGAAAAGGAGATAACATCTAGGTCAGAAAGAGCTGTAGAAGAAGCAAAAGTAGTAGATAAAATTGTTGGCCTCGTGGAAGGTCTTACAACTATAGAGAATGTGTGCGACTACAGGAGAATAGGCAGATATGTAAAAGGGGAAAGATCGACCTTTGAGGATCACCCTAAATGGTGCCAAACAGATGGAAGAAGTACTAAGGAATGCTAGAAAATTACAAAGTGATGAGGATGGGAAAGTGTGGTCGTTAAGATGAGATCTTTCAAAAGAAGATAGAGAGAAGCTGAAACTGAACCTCGCCGAGGCAAAACGTTTAAATGAGAGCAGGAATGAAGAAGAAATCAATTCTTTTTTCTACAAAGTGATAGGGGTAGGCAGGCCAGTAAAGTGGTACATAAAGGCAAACCAACAAAATCATTAGAGAAAGGGGGAGTGAAAAATAAGAAGAGGGAGAACAAGTTCCTCAAGATTGCATACACCAACATAGATGGAGTAAGATCAAAGATACTGGAGTTAAGTGATATAATACAGCTGCAGACACCAGACATTGTTGCACTCACGGAGACAAAACTTGAAGATGCTACAGTGGTACCTCGGAATGCGAGTGTCCCTGTATGCGAATTTTTCGGAAGACGAGCAGGATTTCCTCGGAAAATATGTCTCGGAAGGCGAGGGTTACCTCGGAACGCGAGTTTGTTGATACGTGTACAGGACGACTGGCGCGTGGTGGCATGGCGATCGCGCCTCAGTTTACCAGTGTCTCGTGTCCAGTGACTATTCCACCAGAATTCTTCACAAGGAATTACAGTTTTTTATCGGTTTTTTGGCCATTTGAGCATAAAAGTTGTCATTATATATCTTGCCATGGGTCTCAAGAAAGCCATTGGTAAGGTTCAACCTAAGAAAATAGCTGTGAGTAGAGGCAGTAGAGGATGTCCCTTCTTGATTAAGAAAATGTGTGAAGTATGGGAAGAACTGCAAAGTTTTGTTGAAAAAACTCACCCAGATAAAGCTGTAGCAGGCCGTTGCATTGACCTTTTAAATGATAATGTGATGTCTTACTACAGATAAGTGTTAAAATGTAGGGAAAAACAAGTGTCATTAGACAAATTCTTAGTAAAACAAGCAAGTCCTAGTGGTATGCAGGCAAAATGTGCCAGAGTGTGCATACCAGTGAAGTCCTCACTGCCTTATGTGATAATGGAAGGGGACTCCCCTTCCAAACAGTACCTCCTCTCTTCCTCCCACCTCCTCACCATCTTCCATACGCCTACAGCATTCAACAGCAAGGTAAGTAATAACTTGAACATAGTTTTGTAGGTTTATTTAGATGAATTAGGTATAAAAATTTAGTTTGATGTGGGGTTTTTGGGGTAGTCAGGAATGGATTAATTCATTTCCCTTTATTTCTTATGGGGAAATTAGCTTCGGAATGCGAGTTTTCGGAATACGAGGGGTCTCCAGGAACCAATTAAACTCTTAAACTGAGGTATGCCTGTATTTTAAATGAGGTCATATTCCCAAGGGGCTACTCAATTTGGAGACGGGACAGAAAAATCAGGAAAGGCAGTGGCGTTGCTGTGCTGGTGAAAGAACACCTAAAGGTGAACGAAATAGTGACTGCCAATCCACAAGAAGTTGACATAATAGCACTAGAGATCTGCCATGAGGATGATAAACTAATGATCATAATTGCATATAGTCCACCGCTAAGCAGCACATGGTCAAAGGAGGAGCTAGATAGTAAACGAGAAGGTCTTATAACAATAATGAGAGAGATCATAGCGAGAGCGGATAACGATAGTTCACGACTGTTGATAGTCGGGGACTTCAACTTGAAATCCATAGACTGGGAAGCATGTGAAGCTAAAACAGAAGATTTCTGGACCTGTAAATTTGTAGACCTCATCCTGGAAACATTCTTGTATCAACATGTTAAACAAGCTACGAGGATGAGGGAAGGGGACGTTCCCTCCATGCTAGATTTGATATTTGCCAGGAAGGAGGAAGAAATATTTGACATTCAGTACCTTCCTCCCTTGGGTAAAAGTGACCATGTCTTTTTGGGAATAAAGTATACAATGCGTTATAATCTGGAAGAAAATATGACGGTCGATGCAAATGAAAAACCTGACTTTAGGAGAGGACATTATGGCAACCTTAGAAAATTTTTTAGTGAGTATAATTGGACAGACTTGTTGCTAGGCAAGGAAGTGAATGAGATGTATGTCAGGTTTTGTGAAATATATGATAAAGGCACAAAAAAATTTATACCAAAACAGAGAAGCAGAACTAGGAAACAAGATTGGTTCAACAGAAAGTGCGAGAGGGCCAGAGACCAAAAGACACAAAAATGGAATTAATACAGGAAGAGGCCGAACCCCCCAAACATACCAGCGATACAAAAATGCGAGAAACAACTACACGGCAGTGAGGAGAGAGGCAGAAAGAAATTTTGAAAAAGGGATTGCAGACAAATGTAAAACAGAACCAGGTCTATTCTATAAATTCATAAACAACAAATTGCAGGTAAAGGATAATATTCAGAGGTTGAAAATGGGAAATAGATTCACGGAAAATTAAAAAGGAAATGTGTGAAACATTAAACGAAAAGTTCCAAAGTGTGTTTGTACAAAATGAAATCTTCAGGGAACCAGATACAATAAGAATTCCAGAGAACAACATTGAGCACATAGAGGTGTCTAGAGACGAAGTGGAAAAAATGCTCAAGGAGCTAAATAAGAACAAAGCAGTTGGTCCAGATGGAGTTTCACCATGGGTTCTGAGAGAATGTGCACCTGAGCTCAGTATTCCTCTTCAACTGATTTTTCAGGCATCTCTGTTTACAGGAGTTGTAGCTGATGTGTGGAAAAAGGCTAACATAGTTCCAATCTACAAAATTGGAAGCAGGGAAGACCCCCTTAATTATAGACCGGTATCATTGACAAGTGTAATAGTGAAAATATTGGAAAAAATAATTAAATCTAAATGGGTAGAACACCTGGAGAGAAATGATATAATATCAGACA